ACAATCGACTTTCAGGTAGGCTATGGCTTTCCCCTCGTGAGATTGAGCATGTTTAGGCAATTGTTTATTGATTTGCTTGAGTACGGAAGGGTTCGGGTGTCGAGCATGCTAAATTTCTATAATTCCTGCCTTAGACCTTATTTCGGGAAATTGTTGGATTATGAAAGCATGACTCTTGATATTATTGAACATCCATACCTTGTGGTGTATATGATAATATTGATTTGAAGTATGTTTGGCCTTAGTCTAAGCTTAGACTAGTGTTACCATAGACTTGCGAGGTTTCGAATGTCGTTGGGCAGTGGAACTTTTTTCGACGTCGTTTCGGACGGTCAGCTCCTTGTAGACTGATATAGCAGACTTGAGTCTGATAGTCTGAGCCTTAGCTAGGCGGTAACTCAACTTATGACCTTGTATCCATAATGCCCTGTTTTTCTATCGGCTACAGATACCCGGTTAAAGTCTGTGATCTAGCTTACTCACTATTGGATACTTCTTCGGCGATTTGGGGTATATGAGGGTCGGACTGAAATGATTATTTACGGTAATCGGTTTGGTGATATTTCCCGCGACGTATGGTTGAAAATTGATTCTTAGCTACAGCACCCGGTTAGAGTCTGTGGTCCAGCTTACTTATGTCCAGACTTAGCTATAGTACCCGGTTAGAGTCCGTGGTCCAGCTTACCTGTGATCTGATTTTGGCTACAGTACCCGGTTCGAGTTCGTGGTCCAGCCCACCCGGGCCCGACCTTTGGCTACAACACCCGATTCGAGTTCGTGGTCCAGCCCATATAGGTTGACTCATTAGCTATAGTACCCGGTTTGAGTCCGTGGTCCAGCTTGCACGTGGTGCATTCCCAATTCCTTACTGAAGCTTCAGTTTAGTCTTTGATTACTCTCATCTGTAGGTTGAGGTTTTGGAGGTTGGAGATGTTCCGATAAAGTCCGGGACGTAATGAGATCTTGGAATATAATTGGGAATGGTTCAGTTAAAGTCCGGAAATTGGTAATATTGTGATAGACTTTCTAGCTCCATTCTTTTACTTCAACTGCCAGTGCATCTGCCGGGCTTATGGGGGTCTGTGCAAGTGGTTTCTTTTATTGTGCACGAGCGTACCCGTCGGGTTTATGGGAGCCCGACAGAGTTAGTTAGATTCCTTGTCTTTGTTGCCTGTACGTTCATGTACATACCCATATTTACTACTCTTTTACCCTTGATTGTGACCCTTTATTCGCATTTCAGTTTACTTTTGCTTATCTTGCTCAGTCGGCATGATGCCTACTGGGTACCTGTTGTTTTGGTACTCATACTACACTCTGCATCTATTTTCGTGATGCAGGTCCGAGTACTAGCTACTGATGTTGATTCGAGCCAGCTGAGGTCGTGATCGGAGGCAAGGGTGAGCACACAACGTCCTGGATTTGCTCGTCTCCTTTTGTACTTACTTTTGCTTGTCTTTTGCCTTTTTAGACAACTTGTTTCTGTAGTCCACTTTTAGGACTCCCGTTCATTGCATGTTCTTGTTATATTTATTACTATTTTAAGTTGATTGGTTGGTTTTCTACCCTAACATCCCATTACTTCGAGTTCCGGGATATGGGTCGGCTTGCCTACTGGTGGGTCATATAGTAGGCGCCATCATGACCTGAGAAATTGGGTCGTGACAGGTATGTATCCGAGAGGGGATTATGATATCTTAAGTTGTAAATTTTGTAATTTTCCAATAAAATATGCGAAATTATATTGGGCCCGTATTACAGGCCTTAAATTATCTAGTATTCAAATAAATTTGTAAGGTTGACAAAATAGTTGGTAAAAAGGAGAAATTTATTATTTAACTTTTGTTTTTAATTTAATTTTGATCAATGATTTATATATCAATATTTTTTGAATATATGTGTTTATAAGTATTCAAAATTGATGACATTATAGTAAGTTTAAAAAAAAAAAAACTATTCTTCATAGCATAAAAAAAATAAAGTTAATTATGATAAAAGATTTTTAAGTATGAAAATTTCTTCTCAATAAACTAATATATATATATAAAATTAAAAACAACAAGATCATTATTTTAGTTAATTGAGTTTGATTAATTAAATAAGTCTATTATTTTTTAAAAAAAGGCTTCAATGACATGACATGCCAACTTGGAGAGAGGGGACTTTTGAAGTGGTAAGTATATTTGGAGGAAAATAGTGATAGTTAAGTGATATTTTGGTCCTAAATGAAACATAAATGATATTTTAAGGCAATTCCATAAACTTGGGTGACCATTTAGGGAATTGACTCAATAATAATATATCCTCCATGCCCCTATTGCTTTCTCCTACATGTTTCAATTATGAAACATCATGCTACAAAAGTAGCATCCAACTTTTGTGAGGCTGTTAGGTAAGAAAATGCAGTTAGGCTTATGGTCCCCTCTCCAATTTTTTGGTCCTTACATTCGGACAGAGCCAGATAAGATTGAGGGGTTCAGATTTAACTGTTTATATATGATTAAAATTATTTTTTATGTATATAAATAATGTTGAACCACATTCAACCTCTTCGTGTGTTTGAATTTTCATATTTTGAACAACTTTAGTGAAAATCTTGGCTTCGTTACAGCTTACCTCTACACCAAATAAATTTTTAAAAAAGTGTCTTTCACTTCATTACTATAGCTGTTTAATTAAGATAATATGCTTTATTAGTCCACATAAATGCTGTTTACATAATTTTAAACAATCCACCTCCCAACTGCAATCCCCCACCTATTTCCTAACCATTTTTGTTCTCTTATTAATTTTTTCATATGTTGTGGCATATGCCCTATGGCTCTTTTCTATGTTTGTTCCAACTAAGTGTTCACAAATTTCAATCATCCTTGTGTGCCAATTAATTGCATAAAACAAATTAAGGAGTTTTTTTTTGGTATACTGCGATAATTAAGGGTAATATAATAAAATTATCATTTTATTTATTGCTTCTTAAAGGGTATGTCAAGCCCAATGCTTAGCCACATATAACTCAGAGCAGCCAGTCGGACACCCTTCGTAGAAAAATTATAATATATATATGTATAGAGAGAGAAAAAAATTATTATACAAAATATATAGGTTACAAATTATTTTTCATCTATATATATTATATCTTGAACATCTTTAACTAAATTTCTGGCTTCACCACGGATCAAGTTAAAGATGAACTGGTAAACATGGATGGAAGGAGATAATAAGCGCTTGATGAATTCGGTAAAAGAAAGGTTGATGAATTACTAAAAGTAAAAATTACTTAATTACACAATTTATATAACATATTCTCTAAAACTTCCTACTATTTGAAAAAACTACAAAAATCCCTACTCTCTCCTACATGTTGGATATATCACTATACACGATGGACGTAATACATTACTTTACGCTATGTATTGGGACGTAAGACATCACTTTATGCGATGTATCAATCAAATACATCACTACACACGATGTATCAGAAATACATCATTTTACTTGATGTATCAATTAGATACATCACTGTACGCGATGTATTGCAACGTTGAGTGATATATCCGAAACAAAGACGCGATGTATCCAAAACTGGAATGCGATGTATCGAGACGTTTTGAAATGTATTCAAATTCCATCAAATTTAAGGAATTTTTGTAATTCGGAAAAGAGTACGGATATGATGTAATTAGCTATTATCACTATGAGATTTGTGTAAAATTTTCTTCTTTAGAAGTATATTCATAAGAAAAAGATGAACAACAAATACTAAATTGAGGGGAAGCAGATGAGAGGGAATTGTTTAGATGGTAAGCACCCCTCACTTCCAATCAAAAATTGTTCCAATCCAAAAATTGTGGGTTCGAGTTAGCAAAGGAGCAAAAAGGTGAGAGGTCCTAAGGCTGGGCACCGGACCAGGTTGTACCGGTACCGTTTCGGTACCATTCCGGTCCGGTAGTCTTCCGGACGGAATGGAACACCGTGAATCGATACTCGGAACGGAACGATATCACCATTTGATACCGGTGTATTGGTAATTTGGTACCGGTTTATCTGCAAATTATTTTTTATTAATTAATTTATATATTATAATTTATATATAGGCATATTTTCAAACAAAATAATTGGATTGAATTGATATTTTTTTTAATTTGTGTCATTGTTTTATCCTTATTTTTATTTAATTTTTTAAAATTACAAACTTAAGTTATTTAAATTACAAGTTATAAGTATAACTTATAACATATTAATAAGTAATAACTTATAAACTTCAGAAGATTCAAAATTTCAATTCTTGAAAACTTTAAAACAAAAAAACTTTATTAAACTTAAACTTGTAAATTTAAAAAGTAAAATTTAAAAAAATATCTTTAAAATAAACTTAAGTAAAATTACATTATAAATTTCAAAACTTAAATTTCAAAACAATTAATTAAAACTTAGAAAAATAAATAAACATTCATATTTTCGTAATTCAAAAAATCAAAATAACTAAAACAAAATTATTATTTTTTGAAATAGCTATATGTGTTGTCCCATTTATCCCATTCCGTTCCATTCCGGTCCTGTACGGTTCCATCCCGCCATATAGTGGGATGGGACGGAACCTACTATCCATCCCAGTAATTCCGGTCCGGTTCATCCTGGTACCGGTCCACTAACTGGTCAACCCGTTCCAGTCCGGTGGTTCCGGTGCCCAGCCTTAAGAGGTCATAAGGAGGGGTAAAAATAAATTTAAAAAATGGAGGGGACGTTATGGATTTTGTTAAATATACTTATAAGCCGGTTTGACCTTAGGGGGTATTTGTCTGGCTATAGAGTTTCGGGGTTATATATATATATATATAAATATCAATATAGATGGAATAATATTATACATGAATTCTCTGAAGTTGGAAATTCTTAAAAATAAAAACAAAAGGAAGTACTAGTACTAGTAGATAACAAAAGGCTGCAGGATTTTCCTCCTTCAGCTTTTTTGTCTTCATTCCCAAAATTAGTCTTTCTTTATAGTACAGTGAATCAGTTGGGATACTGTTATATTCTTTTAAAGTGATTAATTATAACATGAAGAAACAGAATGAGGGAGTTGAAGTAGTTGAAAATGGAAATGATACTTTGTTGAGAAAAACAGATGCAGCTTTATTTGCCTGGCCATGGAAGAACTTGGGAAATTACAAGGCATGGACTTTATATTAACTACTTATATATATATATGTATGTTCATCAATCTTGATTTGTATTGAATTTATGATTTTCATATGTATCTTGCAGTATTTGTTGTATGGACCATTTCTTGCGAAATTCATACATTCTATGTATTGGAAAGAGAGCATGGAGGATATTTGGTGTTTGCATATTCTTGTATTGTGTGCTCTGAGAGGCCTTGTTCATCAGCTATGGAGCACTTATAATAATATGTTGTATCTAAATCGCACGCGAAGGGTGTCTCAACAAGGGATAGATTATGAGCAAATTGATCATGAATGGGATTGGTATGTATGAATTCTTGTTATTCACACTTTATATATGTGTATTTCAAAAGGGGACTAATGTTTGTGATTGAATTTCAACAGGGATAACTTCCTTATCCTTCAAGCTATTGTGGGATCGTTCGTCTACTTGAACTTCCCTTCACTGGTTAATCTTCCTCTTTGGGATGTAAGAGGGCTTATTTCTTGTCTCATACTTCATATTGGTATCTCAGAGCCACTGTTCTATTGGATGCACAGATTATTGCATTCCTCTCATCTGTTTCCGCTATACCACTGGCATCACCACGAGTCTAAAATCACACACCCCTTTACTGGTAAAGTAACTACTCCCTCTGTCCCAATTTATGTGTCATACTAAAAGGTTCGTGCACAGTCAAATACTATCACATAAAATGGGATGGAGGGACATCTTTTAGCAGTCTTATCTGATGCTGGTAGCTTGCTGGAGAGTTTGGCTAACCTTTTCCTTTTTTTTTTTTTTTTTTTTTGTTGTTGTGCAGCTGGGCATGCAACATTTCTGGAACATCTTTTGCTCTGTGTGGTTATAGGAATTCCAACCTTAGGCACTGCATTTATTGGTTACGGATCAATAATTGTTATGTACAGTTATATTCTGGCATTCGATTTCTTAAGATGTTTGGGACACAGCAATGTTGAAATCATTCCTCATAGTCTCTACCAGCGCGTTCCACTACTTAGATATGTTATTTACTGCCCGACGTGAGTTCCAATTAACTGACTTTGTTTGATGCAACATCATATATCTGTTATCTTCAGCATCTAGATAAAAAAATCACATCTTATTCTGTTTCTTTTCAAATGAATTTTTCTTCACAATCATGTTTGCCAAGTTACAATGCAGTTTCACTTTCTTGTTGTGCTTCCTTTTGACTATTAAATCCGGTAGTTTAAAGTATGTCCTGTTATTGCAGATACCACAGTCTACACCATCAGGAAATGAAGACAAATCTCTGTCTCTTCATGCCTCTATATGATATGTTGGGAAATACTTTAAATACCGCTCCGTGGAGCCTTCACAAAGAAATAAGTTCAAGGACAAGTGAGTTTGAGTTTACTCTTCCTACCTCCTTGGGGGAGGGGATCTATTATTATCGTCTTCAAAATAATAATCCTTTTTCCAAGTCTTCTTTGCTTTTTTGCATTCTCTGGCTTTAGTTTGCCATTATATCTATATTTTCTGAAGGTACAGATGAAAGAGCACCAGATTTTGTGTTTCTTGCACATATTGTTGATATTATGTCGTCAATGCATGCCCCGTTTTTGTTCCGGTCATTCAGCTCAGGGCCTTTCTCTACAAGGCTCTTCTTGTTACCGATGTGGCCTTTTGCCTTTGTGGTGGTGCTTGCTATGTGGCTGAAGACTAAGACTTTTTTGTTCAGTTTTTACAACATAAGAGGAAGACTCAACCAAACTTGGATTGTGCCCAGGGCTGGTTTTCAGGTAATATGGGGGTTTCTCCTAGCTACTGTTTAATTTCTGGTGTTTTTCAGATTTTGAAATTCTATAGAAGAGCATCGAGGTCCTGCAATCTTGAAATAAATTGTTCATGATTTAAGGATTGAAAATAATTTACTCGCACTCTCAATGTTCCCAATACATCTCGCTGTTTGATTCTGAGTTTATCATTTCCATTCTGTTTCTGGCGTCTAATACATATATTGTGTTGCAGTATTTCTTGCCCTTTGCTGCAGAAGGCATAAATAAGCTCATTGAAGAAGCTATTCTTAGGGCTGACAGAATTGGTGTCAAGGTTATCAGCCTTGCTGCATTAAATAAGGTCAGTCTCATTTTCTTTTCCTGTTTCTAATTTTCTTGTTTCTGTAATGTTTAATGATTTCAGAGTCCTCAAAGTCTTTGCTGACTACTTTAGTACAGCGAACATCTACATGAAAACATTGTATTATGTGTTTCTTGCTAGTGTATAAGACTTTCCGATAGTGGTTTTAGACAGGAAAAACCTTCAAAGTTGAGGAATGGGATATAGTCTATTCAGAACAGGAACAGCTAGTAACTACACTTGTTAGTAGATCATGTATTGCTTGGATCTTCCCATGTCTTTTTCAGACTCGAGGGAGCAATGGTTTCGATATACAGTTATTGCTCATGTTGTTCATAAAAGAAACTTAGTGCAGAATGAAAGTTTAAATGGCGGTGGAACACTCTTTGTCAACAAGCATCCGAATCTCAGAGTCCGAGTAGTCCATGGAAACACCTTGACAGCTGCTGTGATCTTGAATGAGATTCCTCGAGATGTAAATGAGGTCTTCTTAACAGGTGCTACTTCTAAGCTTGGAAGGGCCATTGCACTCTACCTTACTCGTCAAAGAGTCAGAGTTCTGGTAAGATTACTCTTTCTCAAGTAAATGCATGGCATATAAAAGTGTGTGTTTGTATCTTCTACTAGTTGTTATGAAGAGGAATAAGCCCCTTCTTCCTTTTAGTTATCTCTTCTATAATTAGCTTTATAATCCTCCATTCTAATAAGGGTACTTTTCTAATGCAGATGCTCACTAAGTCCACTGAGAGATTCATGAAAATTCAAAGAGAAGCTCCAGTTGAGTGCCAGAAGTATCTGGTTCAAGTGACAAATTGCAAAGAAGCTAAACAGTGTAAGGTAATGTTTCAAGTATATATTCTATAAAGTGAAAGTTATGAAACCAATACAAGTGGCTAACCGAGGTCTTTCAGTTCAGCAAAGAGTTTGCACTATCTTCTAGTTAATTTTGTGGTGTTTTTCAAATGACAGACTTGGATTATTGGCAAATGGTCTACCCCTAGAGAGCAGAGCTGGGCTCCATCAGGAACTCACTTTTATCAGTTTGTCGTTCCTCCTATCATTCCCTTTCGCAGAGACTGCACCTATGGCAAGTTAGCAGCAATGAGACTTCCAAAAGATGTCACTGGTTTAGGAACTTGTGAGGTATGACTCAACTTCGGCTGATGGTGTTGTGTTGGTGAAAACCAAATTTCATGTTTTGTATGAATTCTCACTGTGCTTCTGTATTGCACCAGTATACAATGGGAAGAGGCATAGTTCATGCTTGTCACGCGGGTGGGCTAGTTCATCTTCTTGAAGGCTGGACACACCATGAGGTTGGAGCTATCGATGTTGATCAGATTGATGTCGTGTGGGAGGCTGCATTAAAGCATGGTTTGAAACCTTTGTATAATTCACCATAGTGATACCATTTGTTTCTTATTCATCATGAAAACACCTTCATGACCTAAAAGGTTTGGAGTTGTAACAAAATCCATATAAAAAGTCTTCCAAAGATTGTTTCACAAGTCAATACTTCATTACATGCAGAATCTATTTGTAATCAAACAAAAGTGTAAGCCTAATAAAGGAAATAAGCTATATATCATTGTATTTCCCGCTAAAATGCACTGTTAATGTAAGTGGTACATATTTGGTTTTCTGGGGAGTTCTTGTATTTCCCTGTGAATATAGATATGTTTTTGTCTAATGTATCGAGCTTTGCTAAACGAAGATATCAGACAAATAATCTTGCTGTTAGGTATTGATGCACAGCCAAGACAGGCACTACTTGCTTGAATACATAGCTGTATATGTTGCACATTTACTGTAGACACATCTTTAAACAGGAGAAAGTTTCACTTGCTAGGCCCATTGATACTCAATCTGCACAAATTCAACCAAGGGTGTTTGGCAGCTAAGCTGTTCATATTAAGCTGCTTCTTCTGGTTTTGGATGATAATACAGCCATGCATCAAAACGACAAATTCATATTAGTAAATCTAAAGATATGATATGGACATGTTACGTAATCAATCCATAGCAAGATCTGAGTTAAAGAAAAGGATAACAAAACATGTTCACCAAGATGATATTGATGATTGGAAGTGTTCTTTCTGCAGGGCATTCGAGATGCCCATTTAGTAAATCGAAGTTTGCTAAGAAGATATCACAATGTCTTATTGTTTGGGATAGATCAGCAACAAAGACATGTAGCATTGTTTGCCGGACCTATACATTGTACAAATATCTTAAGACACTTCTTTTGAAAAAGGAAAGTCTCAACTGCTTGGCCAGTTGCTACTCAATCTGCACAACCATCACAGTGGTGACACAAGAGTATATTTATGATAAATATAAAATATATTACACATCTGGAATTGGTTTCCTGGACTTCACCATCCATCCAAGCATCAAAAACACAACACATACAGAAAAGAGGGGTCGGCGAGAAGTTTTTAGGAGCTGAGTTCAAGAAATCTTTGTGCCATGGGATGTTTAGATTCAAAGAGTTGATCAGGCTTTAAAATTTCTACAATCTCTCCATTGACAAGCAGGCATGCTATGTCAGCTATTCTCTTTATTTGTTTGATGCTATGTGAAACCATCACAATGGTCATATTCTGCTCCCTCTTCAGTTTTACAAGAACATCCTCAATATTCTGAGTTGATATTGGATCAAGTGCACTTGTTGGCTCATCCAGCAGCAGAACCTTACAGAAGATTGGAACATAAGGTCAGATTCCTATTTCAAAATTTAGCGTCAATCGAGTGAAGTTTCTTTCGCCAAAACTAGTACATCTCAAATTACCTCTGGTTCATTGGCCAAGGTCCTAGCAAGTGCAACTCTCTGTGCTTGACCAACAGAGAGTTCCCCACCAGACTTGTTGAAGAAAGATGAGTCCAGGTCAGCTAGAGTCAGCAACTTGTATACCTCATTGTCACTTAGTTTTTTTCCTTTTAACTGTGGCCCATATCGTACATTATCTGCAACAGTACCTGAACAATTTTCCACAAAAATAACTTATTCAAGCATCAGTCACTACAACTTGAACAAATGAAATGTATGTTGAAAAAAGACTTCTTTTTAATGACAGAGAAATCCACGACACTCGGTGGCTAATTGCCTGCTCCCTACCCTTCTTCTCTGAAATACTGAGTTTGTCCATTGCAGAAGTTCGAACCTATGGCATGTGCCTAACCCCCAAAAGGCGGATCCTGGAATTTGAGTCTTTAGGTTCTAGATTCTAGAAAAGACAGTATACTAAGTCGGATAAACTATTTATACATATTAAGTAGATTTCTTAACACAAATACAAGATTCTGCCAAACAGTAGCTAGAACTCTAATTCCGCCCCAACTGACCCCTATATTGGGGGTTGAGCTTTTACCACTAAACGAAAACCTTGTGGCACGAAGAACTTAATTATTCAAGTGGAAGCCAAAAACATGCCAGTCCATTAGATTAAGCATCACAAGGCAACAAACAACAACATACCCAATGTAATTCCGCAAAGTGGGGTCTGAGGGATTATAGGGTGTATGCATTACCTTACAAGGCTGTTTTCGATAAGACCCTCTGCTCAAGGACATAAAGCTCTAACATCAAACATCTGATGGACAAAATACCTACACAAAAACATGAATCTGTCTATAATAGTGTTATACCTTCAAAGAGAACAGGAATCTGAAACAGCATGCCAATCTTCCGGCGGAGGGCGAGCACATCCAGATCACATATATCATGACCATCCAAAAACACAGAGTTGGAAGATGGTTCCCACAATCGATTAAGTGATCTCAAAAAGGTTGATTTTCCACTACCACTTGGGCCTATAACACCCATGATTACACCTTTAGGTATGTCAACGTTCACATTGTTCAATATAGAAACACCCTTTTCAGACACCTTTGTAAGACCCCTAACCTGAATCTTGATTTCTGGATTCTCTTCAAATCCATTTTCATTCCCGTTTGACCCCAAAAGATGCTCTCTTGCTCCTATAAATTAAACCAACCACAAACAAATTTCAAGAAAAATGCTTTCTTAATTCTATAATAAAACCAACCACAAACAAATTTCAAGAATCTCTTTTGTGATTTCAAGAAAAATGCTTTCTTGCTCCTATAATCAAATCAACCCCAAACAAATTTCAAGAATTGCTTTAGTAATTTCAAGAAAGATGCTTTCTTGCTCCTATAATTAAACCAATATCAAACAAATTTCAAGAATTGCTTTTGTAATCTCAAAAAACATGATTTTGTACTAACCTGGTAAAATTTCCATAGTATGAAATGTCTAGCCAACTCCTTAGCCAGCAGCAGACAGAGTAGAGGGACAAAAACAAAAGGGGCTATGTTGTAATGAAGAATTATATGGAGGAAAGAATCAACCTTCCTCACTTCCCAACAAGCACTAGAACAAATTCTTGACACAAGTAACTTTCATCAATAATTGTGATGTTTTGTCAGAGAGTGCACAATCTCCTTCTAAATCTCAAAATAAAGAATGTTTTTTTAAGTTAGTAATGTAATGTCATTTGTAAAGCCTGGGGATATGACTTATCTGAGGGAGGAAAAGACTGTTTCTGCAATTTGTTGTCACTTTTAAAAAGTATCAACAACTTGGCCATTAGTTATATTATAGTTTATTTATATAGTTTAAGATTCCAAAATCATGATGATGCAGAAGTGAATGTTGCTAATAAACAAATTTTGAGAGATGGAGTAAGTCATAGTAGAAAGAGTTCAAAGTACAAGAGAGGAGCTAACATAAAATGTGTAATAGACGAGAAAGTAGTTAATGCCCGAGTGATTTGTTCTAACTCCTTTTATAGTGATTGGACCAGTCTAACCACCTATTTCCTCTTTTTATCCGATATTCGATACCTGCATTGGAGACCGACTATTTCAAATTCGTGTCTAGTATCTATTCCCTCTATCCAACTAACGTCATACACTTTTCTTTTTAATTCATTCCAATTCTTTTTTAATTTTAAGATAATTTAACTTTAAAATCTCTTTTAACCTTTAATAAAATAATTCATAGCCATATAAATATTGTCTAAAATTTATTATAGACCACAATTTTTTTTTATTTTTAAATAATAGTAATAATTATGATAAGTCAAACGGTATCACGTAAATCAAAATGAAGAAAGTAATTAAAATATAGGAAATGATTGAGAAGTTGACGACACACATGCCTGATTTTAAACTGGTTAAGTTGTGCTCTGAGTCCATAAATTTTAACAAAATTTAAAATTTTATATCGTTAAAGTACAATTATTTTATCTGAATTTCAGTCGTACAAAACTACAGATATTTTTATTAAGGTTATGCTTTATCAATACTAATTTCAAACACCACAGTTGGAGCCGTGTGTATTTGGGCTTATTGGGACTGGACATGCTACAAGAAAGTTGGTGGGTTTGGTCCAAACAGATTTTGGCCACTTCTGTTTCATTAACTTAAAGTTGATAATTCGATATTAATGTAAAAAAAATAAAAATACGGGCATCTTATTTGAACATTGCTATTTATCTTTGTATTCCTTTATTTATTAGTGCTTAATTACTATTTATTTTGGTATGTCTATTCACTTGAGAACTATTTTACTCATGAGTTTCTAAAGTTTTATGTAGTTAAAGTTCAAATAAAATAATTAAATTTTATGCATATGTGCATGAACTTCAATCATATGAAACTTCAGGTATTTTGACAATATGTGTAAAGTTTGATATTATTAAACATAACTTTAAATAGCTCATGTCTGGAGTTGTTCTGAAATGTGATAAGTTATAAATCTCACTATATAATGGATAGAGGATAGGGGAATTAGGGAGGGATTATTGGGTGGAAATCGAATCCTCCTACCAACAAAGTGAAAGTTAAGATAGCTAATCAATTGTACTACTAAGATTTCACATTTTGTACTAGATATCAATCTACTGTAGCCTTTATTTTTTTAATTAGAGACTGAAGAAGATTTCTATTTCAAAAGCTTGTAGCATGGGTCTCAAGTAAATCGAATTGGATGCTTCCCTTCCACAAATGTGACCAATCTTGTTATGTTTAACGAAATTCTTTTTAACTTCGTCATATTTGTAGCTTTTACACAAATATTTAATTGCACATATTTACAAACTGAATGAGATTTCAAGTCAATATACATGTTTGAATAAAATATTTAACAAAAAAACTAGTTAAATCATAGAACCTTATGACGCAGACAAAAATCTCACTATGGCATTGCATGCACGAATAAATAAACATTGCACAAACAATTTACGTAAAAAGATTTCATATTTTATTTCAATTGATTCATGATGTACTGAATTGTTAATAGGGGCAAATCTAGAAGGGAGTGAGAGTGTTCACCTGAAGTCCCTCGACAAAAATTATATTGTATATATATAAGGTAGTTTTTTAAATATTTATACATATATACAAATTCTGATTTCCTTGAACAAAAAGCAAAATGTTAGCTCTACGATTCAGAACATTCAAATACACACCGACATCTACAATCTGATGCTCATTATTCACATATTTATAATTTTTTTCGAACCCCCTAAATGAAAATTATGAATAGTACTCTCGATACACCAAAGCGACGAGGAAAGGTAGAGAGAGATATCATTTTAGAAGAATCCATAAATACATTTTAGTACTAGGTGCTCAATGAGGGGAAGTTGGCATATACAACAAACAACCTAGAATCATGTTTCTCTTCCAACTTAAAATGTCAAATTGACATTTCCTTATTTGTCAAACTATCTGCTCTCTGTTATTCATCAAATTCTGTTCCATTTTCCCCTTTTATACAACATTTTGTCATTCTTATCAACTTTACATCATCATCATCCTCTTCAAAAACCTAGGAAAAACAATGGTACAATGATCATCACTAACATACACTAATGAAAACAACTTTGTATTATTCATTTCCCCCCAAAAAAACATTCTTTACAACTTAACACTTGCAAAAAATAAAAAAAAGTTTTCTTTTTTTATTTTTCCCATGACATAATATAAGCAAAATTCATCAAAACATATCATTTAAAAAAGGAATACCCACGCGCACGCCTATGTGTGAAGCTCAAACGCTACTTGAACCCTTAATTACCGGTCGCGTGAGAGTTTACGAGGAAGAGAGAGCGTGAGGACGTGAAACACTAAGGGCGTGTTTGGTATGGAGGAAGAAAGAAAAATAGAAGTAGAAAAATTTACAGAAAGAGAAATTGCTATTTCTGATCAGACACAAAACGAAAAAAGAGTCTCGATTTACAGAGAGAGAGAGAGAGGGGGAAGGGGGAGAGATCAGAGAGTGTGTGTAGAAGGTGGGTCTTCGTCTTTTTCTGATTTAGTACAGTGATTTGTGGGGAAGAGAAAGATAGCTGCGGAGAAGAATTGAAATGCGAAGCAATTTGAATGGAAGAAGAAGCTTTATGGGTTCGTATATGAACAAGTAAGAGTTGAAAAAGCATTTGGGTTTTCTCTCTACTTTCTGAATCTGAATTTTGAATTAAGTTTGGTGTCGTTGGGTTCTGTATATTTTCCTAATTTCACTCTTCTTTCGAGCTTAAAAATCTCTTCTTTAATCCCAATTTCGTGTGGGGATATATTTGAACTTGAAGTGGGTAGCTTAAAGCTTTACTTTTTTGGGGACGGGTGGCATTTTATGTCTGTTTTAGGTTTTGCCCTGTAATTTTGCAAGGCAATTTGAACTTATTGAATTGGGGATTGAGGGTTTTCTTGAGCTGCGATTTTGATTGGTTTAAACGTTGGACTGAGAAAGAATTTGAAATTTTTCGAGTTTTGGAGGGAGAGTTAGTTGAGAATTATGGATCTCTAGCTGGGGTGTTAACCCCTTCAATAGTTACACTGTTGCAAGTTGGAATTTGGATATGGGTTTTGATTCAGCATTGCTTGAATTGCTGTTGGAAGAGTACAATCTTGTTTCCACTATGGGTTTTTGGAATTGGGGAAAACCCTAATTTAGTGGGGGATTTGGATTACTGACTTCTTGTGTTACTTGAAAATAGTGGAAACTTTGTAATCTTTGCTTGTTGTGTATAGACTTTATGTGTTGACAGAGATGCAGCCGCCACATCAGCATTCGCGAATCAATCTTGTTGAACTGAAAGCTCAGATAGTGAGGAAACTTGGACCTGAGAGGTCTAAACAGTACTTTTATTACTTAAATAGGTTATTGAGTTTGAAAATAAGCAAGGTTGAGTTCAATAAGCTTTGTCTTAGGATATTGGGTAGAGAGAATATTACATTGCATAATCAGTTCATTCGTTCCATTTTGAGAAATGCTTGCAGCGCAAAAGTTCCACCGCCAACTCATGAGACTGATGTTTCGAAGCCTGGTGCAGCAGTTGGCAGTAATGAGCCCCTAAGTGATGCTTATGAGCAAAATGGATCACATGTTTCCTCAAGCCAGGCTTCAAGTCAACCAGGTTTGTCTAATGGAGATATTCTCCCATTATCTCCTCGAAAGGTCAGAACAGGCTATCGTGATCGTAGGACTGGGGATCGTTGTAGTGCGCTTGGTCAAAATGGGAAGACAAATTTCACTTTTCAACAACCGACAGCGACAGAATCAAGTTTCGATGTTATGGAAAATGGGGATATCAATCCCTCTGATTCACGGAGGGCTGTGCAGCATTGTCAAGGACTCTTGCAACAGACTGATGATGAAAGGGAGGCATCTGGTCAAGAAACTGGTAGATTTTCTGTAATAAAGGGATCACAGGAAGGTCCAGCTTCAGTATATAACAAAGTCCATGTTAGAGATGACGGGAAAGAGATGCATGCAAGGAGTCAGCTTCAAGCTCCGCTTGGGGTTCCATTTTGCCCTGTTAGTGTTGGTGGAGCACGTAAAGCATTGCCTTTGGCAACAAATAGTAAATGTGTTACCTCTTCTAGTTATGGTGCTTTGTTGGATAGTGTATCACTGAAGGAACGCATGGAGCAGATTGCTGCAGAACAAGGCCTTGAAGTGGCCATCGGTTGCGCCAACTTGTTGAATAATGGATTAGATTCTTACTTAAGAGGTTTAATTCGATCTTGTGTTCGACTTGTTGGGGCAAGGTCAGGGTACGAGCCTGTAAGAAACAACACCAAAAAGCAGCAGACCCATGTGAAGCTCGTCAATGGCCTTAGACCCGGTCTTCATTCTCAGATAAGTACTGGTAGACCTTCAGAAGTCATGCAAGAACATGCTCCCAATAACTTGATATCATTGCAAGATTTTAGGGTTGCCATGGAACTGAACTCCCGGCAACTTGGCGAAGACTGGCCATTGCTTCTAGAAAAAATATGTTCACGCGCTTTTGAAGAATAAGCCATACGTGAACTTTGTTATCTTCCAGTTAAATTTCTGGTCCCTACTGGATCTAAGGGCACCGTTCTCTCAAAAGTTTCTGCGCAGCTGCAACATTACAGCTTTTTTGGCCCTTTTGAAGCAGTCAACAACTCTTTTGGTTAATGTTGTCTCTTGAAGATGATATGCATGGAGCCCGGATATTTATCTCACCTACTACAGGGCTTAACTTTGCCAAGAGAGTCTCCATTTCTTAGCAACCACTGAAAGGGACTTGAAGAAAGAAACACCCACGTCGGTTGTGCTGTTGTATGATTAGCATAATTATTTTTTGGATATTTACCGCATTCTCCCTCCTGTAATTTAAAGTAAAGAGCAAATTTGGCACAAGTTTTGCAGGAATAATTGTGTAGCCTAGGACTTCAGTAGAAAGGTGAAACTAGATAATGCAAGAATTGCTGTGTATCTTCAACATCAAGATTGATTGAACTTCAATATTAACAACACGTTTTCACCAGTAGGTTTACATCTTATGATTTTTATTTCTAGATTAATGTTCGTTGGGTCTATGGCCCGCTTTTGTATTTTCCTTACTGTGTTAATTGTATATCCAGAAGAGTTTCATTATTTGATTCTCTCATAAGCCATGATGCTAAATGTAAAGTGGTTATTAAATTGTTGATATTCCGTGATCTATTATAGTCTGCACTGAGCGAATTGTCACTGGTGTGTTATGTAGAACATGCTTAATAGGATCAAAGAAATCATGATATATATCTTAACTCAGACATCCATTTCAATTACATATCCCATTTTGCATAGCAGGGTTATGAAAATCCACGAGTAGCGACTGGGGTTATCATATGTGCCAATTTCCATTTAGCTAATATGCCTAATTTTAGGATGACTGACCCTTTTAGTCTAGTTCATATAATTTTTCTCTCAGGAGCTAGAGGAATTGCATATCAGGTACATCAATTATTAGGTATGCCCACTTTTTGACTTACTGATAATTATGTTATTATTTTGTGCTGCTTAACTAACTTGCAGTGATTTGGCAGATGTTCAAGATTCCTTTTTTCCCCATTGCCTCAAAATTTGGTACGAGTTCAATTAAGTTCCTGCAATATACTGCTGCTTCATTTAGTCATTTCTTTTTTCCCAGAAAAATTTGAAAATACTTTGTTTTATTCATTATGTTCATTGACTAAGTTTACTTACTTCCGTGGTCTGATTTTTTTCATGCTCTAGATGGTCAATCTTTTTTTTTGTTTTTTAAACAAAAGTAAATTTAGTTCATGCACTAGGTAGTCAATGTTAAAGCATGAATGGTTTAATGTGCATTTCTTCATGATATTCGGTGTATTTATCACTTGGTTATATTATTTTCTGGCTTATTTGGGTTTCATTGAGGCGTAGTTGCTGCTATATTCAAAGTGGCCGATTTTGTCAGAGAATCAGACAGTTGAGCTGGTCTAAAAGATGAGTTCAAATCCTTCACATAAAAAAAGAAAAGAAAGAAATGAGCTAGTTCCCATCCTGAGCTGGAAGATGAAGTGACCCCATTCAAAGAAATGTGGCAGTGGTGGACAGGTGGAGTGCCTAGAATGGAAGGCAGAACAACATACAGGTACATTTTGTTCTGAAGATGGAGTAAAAGTTGGAAATAGAGCAGAAAATTGCTGATGATTTTTCTTCCCAAGACAAACTTTACCTACCGGAAATTAGAAAAAGGTCAGAAGAAAGTTGATCTTTTTCCTTATCTCCCTACCTATATGTCTTTTAGCTCCGAGTACTTGTTTCTTTTAAGAAAATGTCTCTTTTCCGACCACATGAATTTTCTTTCAAGAACTGAACACATGCATATCTTCTCTGGAAGCTGATATTTTTTTTTTTTATGTATCTGGCTGTATTGTAAGTTTCTCTTCCTTATTGATTGGCTCTGTCTTTAAGATTATGCGGTTCATGTGATATCTCTATGTACTTGTCCTAATACAACTTGAACTTATTCTTGATAGAAGTATCGCAAAATTATAGGATCTGGATATTTGAAGTTTCACCAATCTGCCTGCTAATGATCATCCACTATTGCTGTTGTGTCTTCTGTGCATTTCCAAGTTAAAGGATTTGTTGTCAAATTCCATTTCGTTCTGCAATAATTGATTCAATTACTAATCATAGTCTTCAATATCTTATGCTCCTTTGTGTAAGAGATTTGCAGTCACCCAGTAATTCTAGCAGAAATTTGATTTGGGGTAGCGTAGCTAGTGGTAGAGCTATTCCAGCATGCCAGGTCTTTGGTTGATCATGGCAAATTTCCATTTGAGAGCTATTCCAGCACACCAATAGGTCTTTTGTTGATCACGCCAATAAGAATAATTGCCAGAGTTGGTCAGTGACTCCACAGTGCAATAAAAGGTGACTGTTTTTCTCTGGTCCTTCCAACACAAATAACATCTTGAACCTAGCTTAATCCTCCTCTTCAAATTATCTTGGGTCAGACAGGCTTCTTTGACAACAAGCCAAACAAAACAAGCCACTGTTTAAGGAATTTCCAGTCTTCATGTGTTCCAAAATCCAAGAGTTAACTTGTTCTCCTAATACGAGTGAGTGCATAATAGGTAGATTTAATTGTATAGTTGCCTTTGCTATGCCCTCTACCATGACAATATGTCCTCATGTTCATAAATGCATTTTAATTGATCCATTACTCTTACAAAATTAGCTACTCTGTTGATTTCTCAATCAATTGGTAGTGTTCTAAAGCTCAGGTTTAATCACTGTTGACCTCATAGTTTGCTAACAGCTGCCCCCTTGTTACTGACAGGTTGAAGATGTATAGGGATAATGCTTTAGAGACCCTTCCCATTCCTCACTTTAAGACTGGTTGGCACTGAAGGAGGGCTAAAAAGCTCTGTTTGACCTCCATATACTAAACCCAGATAGTGTAGTTACCCCTATTTTAAAAAGAGTCAACCCGGTGCAATAAGCTGGGCTATACGCAGGGTCTGGGGAAGGGCAGGACCATAAGGGTCTATTGTACGCAGCCTTACCCTGTATTTCTGCAAGAGGTTGTTTCCACAGCTCGAACCCGTGACCTCCTGGTCACATGACAACAACTTTACAAGCTCCCCTTCTAATCTGAGACAAAACTTCAGGTGAGTGGGTGTTCTCCAGTATAGATTACATCCCCTTTCTGCACCTTCCTGTCCCATAATATAAAAATTCCCTGGTCTACCATTTGCCTCTAAAAATCTGGGCACTGTCTCAGAGGGAGGCTCGGTGAAATAGACATGTCTGTGAAGATCACCTGGACTGAAAGACCCTATGAAGCTTCGCTGTTCCCTGGGATTGGCTTTGGGGATTTCCTGCACAGCTTAGGTGGAAGGCGAACAAGGCATCCTTCCGGGGTGGGGATTGGGGGGAGCCATCAGTGAGATACCACTCTGGAAGGGCTAGAATTCTAACCTTGTGTCAGGACCTACAGACCAAGGGACAGTCTCAGGTAGACAGTTTCTATGGGGCTTAGTCCTCCCAAAAGGTAACGGAGGCGTGCAAAGGTTTCCTCGGGCCGTCCAATCTTTTGATTAAGGGGGATGAGCCATCTGTAAGGATTACCTTAAGGCTAGTAATAAACTCACTTCCGATGAGCAGGAATGTGTTTGCCCACATCTCTTTAACAAAAGCTTCGATATTTCCTTCTAGCTTTGTTTCCTAAAAGCAGTAGATGTTGCTTTCCATTGTGAGCTAAACTTTTCTTCACCCTTCTTTTTTGTCCTGCTATTTGGCCCCTTTCCGTTCCATGTAATGATGCTCAGCTTCATGGATAATCAGTGTATGAGAATTTCTCCTGCTCCATGTCCCGCTGTCCTTGTTATTAACATTAAATTTCAGGATTTTAGTTCCTTCATACTTCTGCATTTTGGGGTCATACAACTGACAATGCATACTTTGGCTTGTTTATCTTGCTTTCTTTTGTACAGTTTCATGAAGAGAGATAGATCTTACATCTCACAGTCTTGGAAATCCAACACATAATGCTTGCACATTTCCAGTACATTTTTATGTACCCACAATGATGCTTCTATGTCAGAATTCTGAATATGAGTCAGCAATGGGTCTACATGCCAGAGGTCATCCTCTTCATGATCAACTATCTGTTTCTCCAATTCATTTGAGTTATGGAGAGGAATAATATCGTCGCTGTTGATAACAGTCATCTCAACTTCCTCATCTTCTTGTATGACCAAGACCACCTGTAGTTGATTAGGGCTGCTGTGGAGAGCACGCTGATCAGTGACCTCAGACATATTTATAGTGTGTAGAAGTTGTCGATGCTCTAACAGAATGACGGCTTCAATTTCCATCATTACTGGATTGTGTCGGTCTACAAATTCAACCAAAACATGCCTTATTTGTTCATTCCAAGCAGCTGGGAAATCCATGCCCATATTATTTTTACGTGGATGTGATCAGTTATGTAGCATTGAGTAGGTGCAGATGCAGAATTACTCTTCTATCAGATTACCCTGGCTAATTTCCAGGCTGAGTAAAGTTAGATCAGATTTCTATGTGTTTTACTAACTGGGAGCCCCAAAAATCTTAGCTAGTATCTGTGGACACCTACAATATTATGCGTTACGTGAGATTCAACTTCCAAATAGGATTCAACCTCTATATTCAGTGATTTAACATGTACAGCAATTGTCATTTGGTATTTCTCTTCAGTTCTGATTCCGTGTAATTGTAGATTACAACTGTCATTAATGAACCAGTTCTTGCTTCGCAGTGGGTTCACTTGAACCCAATAGCTTTTGCTCAGACCTGTATATTTATTAAGCAATCCACTATATATATTTGACCGTGAACCCATTTATTATTGTTTACTAACTTGAGGTCTATGTATGAACCCGTAGAACCTCAAATCCTGGATCGCTCTGCTTGCTCGGAGGTGAAGGACGATGTTGAGTGATTTAATGCTCTCCTCGTAACTTCTGCAGAGGTACAGAAAGCATACAAAGTTCTCTTGATGTTTTAAAGATAGCTTAAGGAAGTTACCCGGGCTAGGCAAATTACTTGTTTCTTCAATTTGGTGAAATTTCTCCTCTTCCTTCAATTGGCATGTAGATTAGGATTTGGTTTCTGAATTCTGATTGAAAGAAGTAGTATTTGGATTTTGCATGAAATTGTTTGTCCTTGATTATCCCTTTCTGCTTTTGATATCATTTCTTTGTTTCTTTCTACATGGAACAGCTACTTTAACTTATACTTTGCATCCAGGAACAGAAATGGATATCCATATCTGGAGATATTCCCTTCACTGCAGACTCATTGTTTATTATGCTGTCACCGACAAGAACTTTATCTTTCTAAATAGAAAGAAAGAAAGAGGTCAATCACCAACAGGAGGAGGAGGATATGAAAGAGAGTACAAACAATGAAACAACTATTCCTCTCGAGTAGAACTTCTAACTGAAGTTGGAGGAAGCAAAATTAAGGTGATGCGAAGAGTCTATATCAAGTTGATATGCTAGAGTGCTGCATAGCTCCACTCTATTGGCTAGTACTGGGGAATTGATACCACACCTTGTAGAAACGTGGTACAAATTTCTTGGCCATAAAGATACCATAACAGCTTAGAATAAATAGGTACCAGATTCTAGCTTCATTTGAACAATTCAAAGCCTTTTCCATTCACCAGAACTTCTCAGCCCTCTTGCTAAATTTTTTATACCATAGAGATTTGAGATTTAAGTGACTGAATGATTAGATTATTTTGGCCAGAACTCTCTGCCCTTAATTCCTGTTAGTTTCATTCTGTATGTAGTTGAGATTTTAAGTGACTGAATTCTTAATATTTTTACTGTAACCTACCGTCCTTTTACATATCTCATTGGCATTTTACAATTTCATAGAGGAGAGTGCATAGACTGGAGCTTAAGAGTAAATGAGTGTGTTGTCTTTCATAGTATTAGCTGCTAACAAGTTTTAACAGTTCTCTTCATGAAGTGGTACTTATCAGCTATGTTGCTCAAGACTCTTCAAAAATCACACCCAAATCTTGCATTTTTGAAGAATTCGACACGGGTACGGCAACATTTTTGAAAAATTCAAGCAACTTAGCTTATCAAGACAATGAGTGTTTATTTGACAGATGGTGCCAACTTTGAGTGTCTATTTATGTATTAATGCTGATATTATACTAGTATTTAGTAAATGACTAGGCATCTTAGTAACATTTCTCATTTGTTGTACATTGTAGCTGTAAATGATGCATATGTTAAAAGCATAATATAACATAAATTAACCTCCCAGAGGAAAATTGAGCTCTGCACAGTTCTTTTTCTCTGTTTAATGCTGAAACATGATCACGGGGCTCTTGACAAAGATGGAATATTTACAAACTGACGCCATCATAGATAAGTCTCATATGGTCATGCTAGCTAATAGAGGTATAATAGATATACTACATCCTATGCTGATATGGACATACACAATAGCTTTGTTACCATATCATGAAATACCACCACCCTATGGGGTTCAAGAAATGGAAGTTGCCATACATGTCTTGACTCTCCAGACACTTTTTATTGTTCTTGAAGATGCAGCAAGTTGTCTATTGATGAGCATGTTCTGAGGAGAAGGATGAGTTAGAACTATGATTGGACCATACAAATATCCTCCACAATGGTCTGCGTTTGCGTTTATGGTGCCGAGATGTCACTTCTGATTCGGTTTTTCTAAGCATTTCCCACATGACCTGAACATCCTCGTAACCACAGGTTTGTATATCGTCATGAAGCTTCAAAAGTCCAGCACCTGAAGAAAATAAAAGCAAAGGTACAAACGCGTTAGTGGATCTTCAAAGCTATTGCTTCTATTCACAGAACATGCAGGTAAATCATAATATATCACACTTTTTGAAACATGCTGTAGAAAATTGATTCCAAGTATCATCTTTATACTTTTGAATACATGATCTTTAGCTAAAGACATATAAAGTGGTAGATGCTTCGTGTTGAAAGAGCACTGAAGAATCGGATACCTTGGCTACTCTATGTGGCCATATTTTTAGAATCTGGAATATTACTATCTGGTTATCTTGAACAGATAAATATAATAATACAGAAAGTGACATTACAGTGTCGTTTTGACTTAAAGAGTATATGAAGACACCTATAGTTAACAATAGAAAAATAGATAGAAGATTGGACCAAAACAAAGCATATATTTGGTTGGTAGAGGCTTATGTAACTATCAACTTGGCCAATGTTTGGGTTCTAGAAAATATATTCTAACAGAAATCAGATTAGTGGATTGTGATGGCACTAAGCTAGTGGATGGAAGGAACCACTAATGGAATCCTAGAAAATATGCTTGCCATTTTATAATATGCGAAGTGCTCATGAGTCATGACCTAAAGAAATGTTACTTGCTACTTTAGACATGAATAGACTAAGATTGATTTGAATTGTTTGCAAATTTGGTATGTTTCAGTGCTTTTTACAATAACATAAGAATGCAATTTAGGTAAAACAAGCATGCCTAACACTTTAGATACTTTCCTTTTCCTCAGTATTTTTAAACCTATTTTTGAAAACGCTTTTCTTGAGCCAAAGATCTATTGGAAACAATCTCTCTATCTCACACAAGGTGAGAGTTAGGTTTGCATACACTCTATGCTCCCACTTGTAGGATCACACTATGTATATTGTTGTGTTGTTGTAAGCATGCCAAACATTTTTTTTTGGCCTATTTGTGAGCTAGTATATAATCATTTTTGTATAATATGTGTGGAATCTTCTGCACAATTCTAAACACAATTCAACATCAGTCAATATTGCTAACTAAAAGATGTTCAATTAAAAATGTTCAATTGACCACCCTTATGTCTATGTAGCGGTTCAACTCGGAATGTAGATAAAGCAACACTCCATCCCCACATCCCTCCCCTACTACCACCAACACACCCCTACCCCCACTCCCACCCCCACCCAAAAAAAAAAAAGAGGAAACAATTTCAAAAGAAATGATTGATAAAGTTAAATTTGTTGAGAAGGTCACATACATCATGCTTTGTCTCAAGTCTCGACAATTATGAAAGCAATTTTATATTTTCCTATGCCTTCAATTAAATTCCAAACTTTCACCGTTTTTTAAATCTATTTTATTTTCCACGTGTAAGGATATTACGTAATGACTTAATTACACGAACATATCCTCCTCCTTCTTCACAAACTACACCCTCCTAACTCCCACCCACTCACCGCACCGGCAAAACCACTACATAGTTATTATTATAATGATGAAGAGAGATGAATAAATCTTTGATCAAAAAGATTCAAAAAAAAAAAAAAAAAACTTACCAATATAGTAATTCATATGGATATAATTTATTTATTTTTAAATGAAATTTTATGTTTTCCAGTTTCTTTGCTCAGATAAACACCTCCGATCTTAAAAGATTGTGGATTCGAATCACCAAGTAGCAAACAGGTGGGAGCTCCGTCGTATAAAAACGACTCAGTAGAGGAGGAGCTACCATTGGAATTGTAAGAACTCAGTAATTTTAGTTCAAATCTGTATTCATATTGAAGATTTTATTTAATATACAAACAATTTATTCAAATTCAGTAAGTAGAAGGAATTAATGATTCAAAAACTCATAAATTAAAATTTCTGTTTCCACCTCGGGAAACGAGCACATGCAATTTGTACTCTTTAGCAGGTTCGAAATTCAAAAACACCGAATCCAGTTAAATTCTCAAATCTCATCTCTTTCTAAGAAAAATTCAAACGAAGAAGGACGAAACAAAGAGAATTTTGTTTCAACTTCAATAAATCGATTCAGAATGATCCTTGATTAATTTCATGAACAGATAAGAAACTAACCATTTTTTCGAGCTTTAACACGAGCAGAAACAGCAAACCAAACACGCCTTACAGGAAACACCATTTTATGCCACCAATCATCCATCACTTTGATTTTGATCTTCAATTTCTTCCTACGACACCTTCCTCCTAATCGACTCAACAAAATCCTTAACCCGGCCAGACCTACTTTAGTTTTGCTTTAATTTTTTTTGAAAGAAGCTGAACAAAATGAACTCCACACACTTTGAATATTTGTTTTGAGAGAAGAAGTAGAAGAAAAAATGAGGATAGTATTAGGGGCTCAATGCCACTTTTCTGCTTTTTATGGAGTGGAAATTAATGACTATTTTTCCCACTTTCAAGTTTTTCTTTTTCAATTAACAATCTACCCGCCGACACGTCACAGTGTTCTACTTTTTTTTCTTATCAAATTATTTCATGCCACGTTGGATCTTCTTCTTAATCTTCACTTGATTCTGTTTTTTCTTATACTCTCATCGTTCGCATTTACTTACTCAAATATTCCTGAGAAATATCGGAAATACACTTAAATTTGTGTAAATTATTGGTTTTATATTTAAATTATTGATAATTTTAGTAATATCTCTCTATTTAACTCAACTTAAATACATCACAATCTGCTAAATGATATAACAAGTGGTCTCAAACACGTAGGAATGTAGGAGCGTGATACTCTTGATAAAAGATTGAAAGAAGTGTTGAAAACACCTTTTAAGGCAAGAATTTAAGGGTGTACTTCACCCATGTGGCAAAATCAATGGTGTATTTAAGTTTAATTAATCAATTAAAGAGGTGTTTTAAGATTGTCAATATAGTTTGAGGACGAAACTAATAATTCACACCAAGTTTAGGATTGTTTTCAATAAGTCTCTCTTCAATATATTAAAAACATATTTTGTATTAAGACAAAAAATTAAATATCTATTTTATTTTTAATTTTCATTAATCAATTCAAATTATGTTTCTAATGATTATTGTTAAATAATATAAATATCATAATAAAAATAATATTTTGTTTATTATTATTTTTAAATAATGCGTATTTCATTACGCGTAAAAGTAAAAAAAAAAAATGAATATTGTGGGAACAAGTAATTTGATTTGCGTGGATACAAAAACGTGACATGTTTATGTGGGAAAGCAACAAGTAAACAGAAATTCTGGTGATTTGGCCGGTTTGACTGTGCGTTTTTTATGTGAAGTATTTTTCTTTTAATTAACTTAAAAGTAGACAAAATAATTTAGTACTACTACCTCTAAAATGTTTTCCAAAAATAAGGAAATTACAATTTTGGCGGTGGTAATAAAACATTTGTAATTGGGTTGATAAAATATAAGTAATATTAATAACATATTTATTGTATTTATACAAGTAAAATATGAGGAGAATATAATGTATATAGATGTTATTCACAATTTGTGATTGGGTTAATTAAATTAATAGTAATATTTTTGTTATTGAAAAAAGGAATTAAAAAATCAATATATTATTTTTATGATATATATAAATTTATCCACCATTTGTAATTGGATTAATCATATTAATAATATTCCCAAGATTGAGAAAAGGAATAAAAGGATCAATATTTACGATGTACGTGAATTTTAATTTACCAATTATTTGTGATTGGATTAATCATATTAATAATATTCCCAAGATTGAAAAAAAGGAATAAATAAAGAACCAATATTTATGATGTACACGGATTTTACCCATCATTTCTGATTCGATTAATTATATCCTCAATATTGAAAAAAAGGAATAAAAGGATCGATATATTGCTTTTTTAAGTGAATAAAATTTAAAAATGGTTAAAATTTCATAAAGACATAGTCACGTAAATTCGGTGCTTCAGATTCATCGAGATAAATGCTTCTTCTTTCTTATGTCTTTTTCGATAAAAATCATGTTCACACGTTATTTTTATGATTCGTAAAACTAAAAAGAAACTGATAAATTTCTCTTTTCGAGATGTTTTAAACTAATTCATTTTTATTAAATATGACGTTAGAGAAAATAAAAAGAATTTAACCACAATTAACCATGAATGTACGTTCAAACTAACCATTGACAATTTGTGCAAAATTTAATTTTCGCAGTCTGCATTTATCATCACATGTAAAGCTATGCATGAATGATCTTCAATGTTTTTAAATTAAATAATTTGTATTAATCCTATTTTTAGCTTTAATAAACCTAAAGTTTGAGTAAATGCGAATGTAATCAAAATTAAATTTGATTTGGCTCCCTTCCATTACACTTTCTCTCCATTTCGTTAAGTACACTTTTTGATGAGAGATATGTGTCCTATTCAATTTTTAATGTTCAAGATTATATTATATTAAGAAGTATCATAATCATAGTTAAGTTAACAAATTTTGGTAAACTATTCTCCAAATTTGGTAAGAACAAGATATTCCACATAAATTTTAATATTCATTAATATCATTATTTTCATCTTATATTTTTTTAAAAACATATTAAACTATGCGATCTTTTAGGTTGAGAATCGACCAAAAAAAAATTGTGGCAATAAACTTTATGCTTGAAATATTATGTTGAGAAACCAAAAATAAGGTAAAAAATTATCAATATTGACAAAAATTATAAAATAAAAGAAAGGGAAATAAAAATAATAATAATAATTAAAAAAGATGAGATGTTATCAAGATTACAAATGTGAAATATCAAAATTCTAAAGTTTAGGAGAAAGTGTGGCTGCTGTGTTTGAAGAAGGAAAAAAAAAGAAATATATATGTTTTTAAAAAATATTCTTTTATCTTCTTCGTTTTTTTTTTTGTTTTGTGAATTTTGAAAACATATTTAAAGCCAAAATATTTTCGAAGACTGTTATTTATCAGGCTAAATAAAAATGTTGTTAGATTCATGTTCTACTTTTAAATATTTGAATAAGAAAATAAAAGATGAAATTAATAAATATTAAATTTGTGGGAAATATTTTGTTCTTATCAAATTTGGAGAATAGTTTTCCAAAAAATTGTTGATTTAGCTATGGTTATAATACTTATTAATATACTATAATATTGACCTTTAAAAATTAAATAAGACTCATGTCTATCATCTAGAAGTGTACTTGACGAAATGGATGGAAAGTGTAATGGAGGGGAGCCAAATTTGTTTCATATTATAGGGTTTATGCAAAGAAATTACAAAGACATTTAAAAATGACAACACAAGTAATAAGCAACCGTGAAATTGATTTTTTTTTCCTCAAGACATTTACATTTATTATTTTTTTTGATACTTGTGTTGCACATCTATGCGAGTCATCTAATGCTTGCTATTGTAAAATAATTTCAATATTATTATGTAGATTTTGAGAAAATAATTATACAAAAAAAAATAAAGTATATAAAGTAAAAAATAAAGTGATCAAAATTATTAAAATATTAAAAGTAATTAAAATTTCTTAAGGATAGAATCATGCATGCAGATCTATTGTTTTAGATTCATAGTGTTGCTTCATTCTCTTAATTTAATTTGTGACTTTTTCAATAAAAACTTATTATTTTCAAGACTCATATCATCTAGAAAAAACGAGGAAAAAATTATTTTTTGAGACAAAATTTCAACTTATATATTTTTATCGAACAAGTTGTTAATTTTTTTTTAATCATGATTAATCGTGGGTACTCACATTCATATCGACAATTGACAATTTGACATTCACATGCATTACATGTAAATGTTGAGTTATCTATTACTTGTTATTGTAAAACAATATCTATGTTATTATATAACATTTGAGCAAACACTCGACATAAAAAAATAAAATATATAAGGTAAGAAAAAAGTAATTAAAGAACAAAGTTTTAATTTATTTGTTTTTATTGAATATTTCATTAAATATTTATTTATTATAATTAATCATGGGTGAATATTCATTGTCAACGATTAAAATATTTACTGTCTCCTGCCCAAAAGTTATACTCCCTCCGTTTCACAAAGAATGACCTCCTTTCATTTTTAGTCAGTTTAAAAAAGAATGACCTCTTTCTTTTTTTGGTAACATTTTAATTTCAGTTTTTCATGTAGCATGTTTAAGGCCACAAGATTAAAGGACAATTTTGTACATTTGACATAACTTTAATTTAGGACCACAGATTCAAAAGTCTTCGTTATTTTCTTAAACTTTGTGTCAAGTCAAACTAGATCATTTTTTGTGAAACGGAGGGAGTATATTTTTATGAAATTTGCATTTATTTGCTCTTCCAAGTTTATAAACTATTTTTTTTTACCTAACGAACCTAAATTTGGGTATTCAAAATCAAATTTGATTTTCCATCCTTGACTAGATTTACAATTCTTCATAAACAATACTGTTTATGCAGAAAAATTAAAAATGATAGTACTATTTAAAAACAACAAAACGACAAAACTAATGTCTTTTAAAAAAGTCTCACATACTTATTTTGTTTGTTAAAAAGTGTTAAATCACTACCAACAGATTTGACTCGCCTTCGAATTTTGAAATGTATTATCCGTTAAGTGGCACCTAATTTGGGGATAAATAATTATGTTTTTTTTTTTTCCATCTAATTTGATATTTGTGTTGCACTCCGACTATTTCAAATTTACACTATATAGGGGCCTCATTTGGAGGAAAACGCTTTAGATCAAAGATTTTTTTATTCTCAATTCAAACTCGAGATCTCTTATTAAGAGAGAATCAGTCTGCACCACATCGTCGGTTATATAAATAATTATGTCTTACTTACGCAAAGCTATTTAAATTCCTTCTGTTTTTAGTTTCACATGATGAATTATATTGCTTTCAAATACAAATATGTTGTTAGTTATAGAGATGGATATAGAAGTAGAAGATATATTTGATTAGTTGGGTCGGTTTTAGATTAATTTCAGCTTAATATAATATTTTATTTTATTAGTTATACTTAGCCAACTTGACCGATGATAATCCTAATTATTTTCTCCTCCAATTCGATTCTATTGAATAAAAATTAGGAAAAGATATAAAAATAAAAAACTGTGCCTGCATATGATAAGTTGATGAAAAAATTGGCTCAATTTTTAATATGTTAGACTAGCTAGTTTATATTTTTAATATTTTGATATTCCATGAGTTCAAGATCTTCAGTCTATAGTTTATAATTCATGAATAAGTAAAATAATAACAAATATTTAAAAGAGACACATTTTGGATCCACAAATAAACAACAAACAAGTAGATGCTCGTTAACTAACTAAAATTAATCATTAAAAAATCCAACCAAAATCATCAATTATTACTCTAAACTAAGACCAATGTATTTGACTTGTCATTCAAAATTTGTTACCTTTGGTAGGTGGATTGAAATATCATTCACAAGTCACTTTTTTATTCTATTTTAAAAATAATAATTGTACTAGAATTTTATATTCATAAGTTAAATTTTAATTGTTAAATTTGAAACTTGTACAATAACTTTTTCGATTATATTATTATGTTGTCACTCATGTTATTATGTTATGCCGTTCAAGTTTTTTTTTTTTTTTTTCAGGATATGTGAACAGAAAATTATAGAAAATCTAGCCATGACTTCCACTAAATTGTCCAAATTTTTTTATTAAAAAAAAATGCCAGGAAGCTGTTCATATTGGTAGAATGGAAAAATTATTTAATTAAAGTCTAAGGATTGAAGAAAAAAAAATAGATCTAGTCAAATATAGTGAGAGAATTAACTCAATAAAAAATAATTAGTAGTATAATTTTTTCAAATCAAATATATCGTAGAGAATTTTTCCTTAGTGTCGGTAGGAGTTTGGACCACGTGGTTAATAATCAATTGGTAATGGATTTTAAATTCATAGTAATTATTGGATTCTTTAATTAGGGGGTTATTGTTAAGAAAGAAAATGACTAATTAACTGAAACAGAGAAATAGATTATAAAAAAATAATAATATTATTATAATTTATCACCTTAATTCTTATGACCTACCACGAAAAATGAGTTTTGCGATTGTTTTCATCAGTTAACCTCAAAAGCTAACAACAACGTAAATAAAAAATGTATATTATTATTTGTAGATTTAGATCTTGATGCAGATATCATAATTGAGTATTCTACTAGATAAAATTTGTGATAGATTTGTCCGTTTTATTATCCATCACAATTTGTTATAAAATCTCTTTATATATTAAGTATGTCAAAATATTTTGTGATTGATTAACTAAAATTCATTTCTAATTTAGATAAACATTATATTCCATCATAAATCCATCACGAATTCATAGGGAAGATACAAAGTATATATCATTTTTTTCCTACAACATACTCAGTGTAGTTTAAAGTAGTACTACTTTTTTAGTTTTTTTGTCCCTCTATTTCTGTTACTATCTGTTGTTTCTTATACATTGATTATTGTATTGTTTTGGTTGTAGTTTCTGCTATGTTACTATCTGCTATTTTTATTATTATTTGTTATTTCTTGTACTTTTGTTACTTCTTTTTCTTAGAACTGTTTTGAACTGTTTTTTAATTTCTTGAGCTAAGGATCTATTGAAAATAATCTATCGTAAGATTACATTAAATATGTATTATTTTATTTGTTGTCTATTAAGTTAGAACCACTATAATTAGTAGGAATCTTTCTTAAAGAATACAAGAAAAGAAGAAAAGGAAGTGTAAAGAAAAAGATAGACAAAACGATTTCGTTTGCCTTTCGTCAACTTCAACTATCAGTTTTAGTGACCCAAATATTGTCACTTTTTTGTATTAACTATTCAAAAATCTAGAAGCCTCTTAATTAGCACCTAAAACTTTATGCTTCTACAACTTTAATAAATACTTAATTTAATAAAATAGTTTTATCTACAATTAGATGGTGGCTTTGATTTAGTTTTCAATTTAGATTTCTTTTTTCCTTGGAGGGATGGCAATTATTTGTTAAAATAGACTTATTTTAGTGGTTTTATTCTTCACTAATCATAATATTGTATGTTTAAATAATGTGAAGTGAAAGCTCAAGTTATGATTAAGGCAAAAAACTAATTAAGCACTTTATTGGGTTTTGAAAATAGTTTGATAAATGGATTAGCAAAATGGACCACTCTATTCTTCTGTTTAAGAAGTGGGAATTTCATGAGGCATGAAAACACTGGCTCACCTACCTTGAAAGAAGCCTTACACCATACAATAAATGGACTTTCTTTATGCAATATTTAAGTACTAATCTCTATCGACAAACTTCGTTTGAATTTATATATACTAATGGTGTAAAAAATTATAATATCACGTCACACTTAATACATTTGAGAGTAGTTCAGTATCAAAGTGAAATTTGTAATCTTGAAAATGAGGCAAGGTTGAAAATCATGAGGTCTTAAGTTTAAATTTTATTGGAGGTTAAAAATAAAAGGCGATTGTTTCCATTTGTTCAAGCATTAGCGAACAAAATTATCAAGTATTTGTATTGGTGGAAGGTAGTAGGACACAAATTCATATTTGAAATTTATGAATTCCTGTGACATGATCAAGTTAATTCAACAATTATAATGGTTTCCCTCATATTTAGTGGATTGATTTTATTATATATATATATATATATATATATATATATATATATATATATATATATATAAGATCTCAATCACATAACCTATAAACAAGGCTTTAGAACCGTCGATGGTAGCCGCGCCTAGCAAATACCTTAAGAAAAAAGTCGAGGTACACGTAAATTGGTCTATATACAACAATTTTTCTTTTTAAAAAAGATAAATTACCTAGTATAATAGATAAACTCAACTTGATAATAGGAAGGTTTTTTTATACCATTGGGGTATATAAATAAAAAGTTTATACTCTTTTATATTTCAAGGACCGAAGAAGACCCTCCATTTAAAAGTTATTGAAAATTGAAATGCACAACTTTAATGCTAAAGTCTTGGCATTGAATCAATTGGATTATGACTTGTTGTCCCTCTATCAATTTATAATATAATGTCTTTGACATCTCTTTCATTGCCATTTTTAATTATTTTTGGGCATCATGAATGATGTATACAAAAACGGTCCTCAAAAAATCGTTGTGAGAGCCATTCTTTTTCAATTGATTTAATTAAGGACAAAGCTAATTGGTATGACTGTAAAAATATCTTAATATTAGTAGTATATATTTATGACTTCTTTTGATTATAGTATTTTAACGGTAATATAGGCTTTTGATTTGATTAATATGATTGTCATTTTTTTAATATTTACTTATTTAATTCTATTGGTTCATATTAGGTATGCTTCAAATTTTAGCACCAGTGGGAAATTTGAGCTTTATGTCGTATGACATGATCATGGCTTGTAATAAGATTTTTCTTAGTTAGAGTCATCGAGTTTAGCTTAAACAAAAAAAGTGATGATTCATATAGTTAATCTTAACTTATTTGGGATTGAGACATAGTTATTATTGTTCTTGTTGAGTTTCTAAAGAACAGTCGGGTTACACGTTTCACTTCATCGACACGTGAAGTGTAAGTGATGATCACCCTAGAGTATGCGCTAACACCCTTGACAAACACTTCAAAACCCACCTAACATTCGTGTAAACCCAACCAAATGTATGTTGCTCATGAGCTACCAAGTACCAATCTTGCAACAGTATTGACAAACTTCTTCACTTGTTGGTTATTTGCGAATCAAACTTGCTCTCTTCCCACGCCTTTCACGTCGGGACACAAGAACACAGACCATTATCAAACAAATATTATCCATAATATATGTTGTCATCATAAAAGTGCCTAGTATAGTTAGTTGGCATCAGATATCATCCTATTGTCATGAAATGGTCCATTGTTAGCTATCTAAACCCCTATTATATTAAAAGTGAGCCTTAGAACCACTACAATACATAAGAGGATAAATGGAACTCTTCATTCTCAACCAAAAACTTAATTCGAATTTTGATAATGTAAAAGTCTTTGGTAGGAGAGCAACTTCCTTTACTGAGCCCTATACGGTATAAATCCAAATTTGTCAAGCAAGTGGATACCGTATACTTATTATAAAAATAAATTTTTAAAAAAGTGAACCTAATGAAAGAAGGGCTCCATCCAAAAAGCACTAAGTACAGTTAGCATCATTCTATCTTCATCAAATTGTGGGGTTAAGGTGAAGGAAATGGTTCATTTGGAACTCCCATTACAGTACAGGGGGACCTTGACCTTTAAGAAATGAATTTCTTAATACACTATATTGATCTTATAATTTGAATCGAAGAAAAAGACATAAAACTAAAAACGAATTTGTGAAGGATTATAAAACCAGTTATTCTTACCAACCAGATAATTTACTTGAGCAATAAAGATTGTGTTTTGGGATTCACATTTCACAGTACTAAAAGATTATTTAATGAGGAAAAAGTTCAGTTTTTTTGCAACAAAAAATATAAGAAGATAAATTTAAATTCCCATTTTTCAGTACTCCTGATTGGATAATACATTTTACTGTTATTCACTCAATGATATACACAAAATCAACCTGAAGCCTCTTTAACTCACATAGTTGCAGCACTCCATACTATTCTTGATCCATGTTCTTCATGTATTCTTTTGAAAGTTTGCTCTCCATAATCAGCATTTGTTCTTTCGTAAGAGAGTGTCCCGATTCAAGCAAGGCTTCCACTGTTTGCTGTTCAACAAGAATAAAACCAGTAGAATAAGTGAACGATTTTACTTCTAAGAGAGTACTCCTCAAGTTGATTCTCAACCCTGCTTATATGTGTGAAGACCTAAGCTAAAACAACTCAATAAGTTACTCCAATCTCTAACTAAAAATAGAAGGAAAGAACGAGATAAATGGATTAGATAGATTTCCTATACATAATTGTAACAAAAAACTGTCTAAGAAATAGGCTTGACTTGGCCCGGGTTGTTTAATAACTAGTTATTCATCACAATTCACATGTTTGACCCAACTACTTGAACGCAAATAAACTTTGGATGGATTGAGTTACTACCCCCTAATTGATCCTCCTAGTTTTGACCGGGCAAGCTTGCGTGGACATCCATTAATTCCACGAGATAACTGACACCTCTTCAATAGGTATCCGATAATATCATTAGAGAAGTTATTTTCCTCCTTTTTAAGGAACATATTTTCTTAGAGAAAATGTTTTCCAGATATTTGACCAACCAAACATAAGGAAAATTGAAAACATTTTCTAGCTAGACCAAATACATGCATTATTTTTATCATTTTTCTTGCTTATGTAAAAAAAAAGATACTTTAGTTGTCCGAACAACTTTTCTGCCAAATCAACAAACATGAAAAGCCAACACTATATGTAAAATTAGTTTAACAAGTGAAATCAGATTTCCTCCTGCCTTGATTGTTATGAAAAGGAAGGGAAACAGAAAATGCCTTACCTCTGGAGGAATAAAAACTGGGAGTTCTCCCTTCTTTCTTTGTCGAAGAAATCTTCTGCCAATATCTTCAGCACCTCCAGAGTCTTCAACCCACTACATAAAAGTGGAAAGCACAAAAGAGTAACTGAAATTTTAATCAAGTCTCCGAAAGTTGGTGTTAGATTAGAAACTTGTATACCAATGTGGTAGAAAAGAAACAAACACAAAATAATTATTTGTACTCACCATTTACAAGCAACAACAATTGATGAAGCAAATGTGTTCATTAAGGAACTGCCTTTTTTTCTATAGACCTTTTTCAGAACCTTAAAAGTGGAATGGACTACGAGCTTGAAAATATGCAGTGCTTGCTGCCGAGTTTTACAAATCCGAGAACCAGCCATCATAGAGCAATACTATAGTACATTGAATCTGTATCTTATCTTACTCACTAATTACAGCAAAGCCTCCTTATGATTTTGGCAACATCTATATAGTGACTACTGATCACAAAAACAATGAGAATTGCCCCTATGGTACTGCAATAGACTAGCAAGGCTCTACTGCATTGTTCTATGACCAATCAATAACTTAAGTCCCAACTTCCACTATAAATTCAAAATAATCCTAATATAATATCGAGTTCTCATGAACTCACTTGTTCTGCAGCTCTTCACCTATGGACTAAAGAACACCCAAACTTTGTAAATTGGGAGAAGTTGAAGAGAGAATAATTTATACCTACAGAACCATGTGAATCTACTATGGATTAAAGAACACTCAACAACAACAACAAACCCAGTGTAATTCCATAAGTTGGGTCTGTCTCCTGATAAGTTTTAACAACATTAGTGAACTTCTCTCAAGGATTCACCATGTGAACCTAGGTACAACCAGAAAACTAAATACAGCCAAACATCATTATAGTGGCAGCATTTGATTTTCATGGCTGCTATAGTGATGCAATGTTATATATGTATACTGACATTTATGAAAAATTGGTTATGGAGAAAATCATGCCATTATAGTGAAATGACGTTATAACAAATGACTGTTATAACGAGGTTTGACCGTACAAAAAAGCATGAACCTTTTTAGCTATAGCTCAACATGGTCATCTAGTTGTCTTTCAGGGTAGAAGGAAAATGTGGAATGTCGTTTTCTGAGGTTACCATGAATTTCTTTGTTTCTCTTTATTGATAGAAAGACATCTTATAGAATACCCACTTCAGGAACACAGATGCAATGATCATAGCTCAGCAACTTGCCATTTCTGTCCACTGCCCCAGACATAATAATGTCATTATTCACCAAATTACCTGTTTTTCCATCATCTGAAAACTAATTCTAAGACCTAATTAAGTAGACAGTTAACTCTGACTTTCTCCAATGACTCCGATAAAGAGAAACTTTTAGCAACATTAGCCTTTTCTTTCCTCTGACAAAATGAGAGAATGTTCTTTGACCAATTAGTTCAAGAAAAAGCTCAAGAAGACACCTAGGAAGCATGCTAGGCTAAAGGTTGAATAAGGTAAACTGACATTGCTCAAATTAGATTACCTTTAGGATGGACTGGTCGTATGTTCTAGATCTCATAGCTCCATAAAAATCCAATGCTGCCAAGAGATGAACAAGAAATATGAGAGGAAAAAGGCTTTCGCACCTCTGCATTTTTCACTCTATTTATATGACAATCTAGTGATATAAACAGTTTATGATCATGAACTGAAATATTTAACCAATTCTTAGCCAATCCATAGTCCCATAATAACATATGTAAACAATGTGATTGTGTACGATTGTAAGTCCTTATTGCCAGAAGTGTGAGCCAGCAAAAAAATATCAAAAATTGTATTAACTTTCATGTATTAATTAAAACAACTTTCATGTATGGTTGGTTACCTTGATTTGGGAAGGTATTAACTATAGTCGCAACCTCATCCTTTGTTATGCCATCTTTCTCGTACATTCTGCAAACAATATTCACGATGTCTTCTTGGGTGGGCTGCCTATATCATGAAAGAAAAAATAGTTACTACTCTCCAGAAATGTATAACAACAATTTGTTGTCCACGGAGAACATCTAAAAATTCATTTGCAACAACATACCCAGTGAAATCTCACAAGTGGGGTTTGGGAGGGTAGGATGTATGCAGACCTTACCCCTACCTTTGTAGGATAGAGAGGTTGTTTCGGATAGACCCTCAGCTTAAAAGAAGTGTAATATATAGCCAAATAACGACAAACAAATAGCAAGATAAACAAAGAAAATGAAGCAACAAGTAGTACTAAAAATGAAGAGTAAGATACTACGTGAATACTAAATAATACTACTAAATAAAGGGAAGATGAGAAGAAGAGACTAGCCCCCTTTCTAAATTAACATTAATAACTTTGATTGATCAAGAATTTTTAGTTCAGTTTCAGCATAACATTGGAATGATTTAAAATCAACAAGAAATAGCCAAAGTACATACATTAATCACTATTTTCCTGATAAAAAAAACAGTTGTTGTAGAAAAAGTATACACATAAATCACTGTAAAATATTAGCTTCAGTGGCACTGTCTTTTTCATAAACTTGAAAGTAAGAAGTTAAATTGTGTCCACCAAATGGACCGTCAGGTAGTTCATAAAAACAAATAGGTGTTGTACCCTTACTATACTCTGAAGTGGCCCAAAAATTAAATCCAGGGACGATTTCCTTAGTTTTTTGAGTATTATGGACCTTGTAGATGATGTAGAGACCTTGTTACTGAAAAGCTAGAAAGGAAAAGTTCTGCTCTTGTGTTTTGAATGTAACCCTCTCAGCACCATCTTGGATGCTAATGATGTTAATAAAAGTTAACCTCACATGTTCAAAAGTAAAAAGTAAATCCATTAAGGATAGAACTTTTGAGGTTTCTGGACTGCACCAAACCTAACAGCAACTGATTAGTTGTAATTCCCGTGACCCCTATATATACTCCGAAGTTGCAAGAAAGAAGCCAACGAACGATTAGGACAAGCAAGAGAGAGAAGGGGGCGTACCAATAGAACTTCTCCATTCTCCCATCACGAATTAGGGGAGCATACATTGTTGAAAAATCATTTCCTGTCACAATAATGGGAATCCTGTGTGTTATATCTCCTTCTCTCCAGTCCTGCCCCACGCTTACCCTTGTAGGATTATCACACAAATTCATCAAAGTTCCAACAACAATTTGGTTGTTGACTGTCACTTGCGTGTTACCTTCATAGCAAAAAAGAAAAAGAAATCTCTTTAGTGGATAATGTCAGTTCATTTAATTCTTGGTCAAAAAGAGAGCTGAAAGATATAGTCATTTAGACCGAAGCGATGCTTGATGGAAACTGAAAACACAAAAACCAACAAATGTAGATTTGTACATCCAAGTAAACATAATATAGCTTACCAAATCTACCAAGGCCAGCATCAATGTCGTTGATCATCAAAACACTCATTTTCCCCTGTCAAGCAATAGGAACCATAACACAGTTCATTAACAGTTCACTTAAACATTATGAAAGACTCCAGAGAGAATTATAGCAGGAATTACAACAATGTTTCAGTAAAGCAAAAAAGTCATAAACTTCAATCGAATCCAGAATTAAATATGCATGCTTTTGTAACATTTGTTCATGAGTGAAACAGACAATGCATCCATATGCTAAGCAGTGAAGCTACTCTTTTTCCAGTGGACTAAGTATACATTCTCTAGAACATGGAATATCATGGATGTCATATTCTTATTGTTTTCAATTTTCATCTGCCTCTCAATCTAAAATTGGTGTGTGTGTATGTGCATGGTGCACTTTTGCTCTTTTTTTTTCACCTAGGATTATGAAAATATTCTGGAACAAAGGAAGGAATATATTTTCTGCAATATCGGGAGCGCTCATATTCATCACATATATATATCCATTTGGAACTTTGTTAACATTTTTTTTTAGAAAGAAGTCAACAGTAGATCTTGCTAGTCATTATTACATAAACAAAGTGAAATGCACCAGAAGCAAAAAACTAGACAAAATCTCTTTTTTGGAACTCTCTTTTTATATTTTCAGTAGCAACATTGTTCTTCCATTAAGATTATTAAAGAAAACGTACTCAAAGTAACACAATATTCTAACACAGTTTTGATGGTTTAAAAAAATCAGCACTTTCATAGTCAGAAAAAGGAAAGAGACAATAAGGCCATGGAAGAAGAAAATGAAGACGCAAAGGCAGCCGGCGAGAACAACAGCAGAAAAGAGTAAATGCCAGATGAGAAGGGAAAAAGAAAGAGGTGAAAAGAATTTCAAAGGGAGAGGAGAGAAATGAAATTCAGAACTGAATGAAGTTGCTGTAGCAGATGGCCTGAATGCATGATCCTAAGAAAGAACAGAAAGGGAAAGAATGATTGATTAAGGAATTAAATAGGGTGGAAGTTTCTGTTCACTATTATTCTTCTCTATGAATTTCTATTCACAGAAAAGAAGTAACAGAGAGTAATCCATTACCTATGAACAATTGTCACAGGAAACAAGAAACAAGAAAATGAATAAATATGTGTCCAAACCAAAACAGCTATAAGTCATAGCATATAACATAAATCATAACAGGACCCAGACATACAAACATATACATATACCGGTAATAAAAGCAGTAAAGCTTCTAACTTGGTTCTGAACCACTTGAGAAGCAGTTCTATAACGCTCACGTATTAACTTTCCCGGTTCTCCTGTTAGGGGAAAGATGAAAAGAAAAATAAGTAAATAACTCATGTACAAGTAAATAATGTATATATGAAAGAAGGATAGAAAAAAACACAGATAATAGAATTGGAAAAAGGAAATAAATATGATCACCATCCTAGATGGTCACAATATGAGTCCTCAAATTGAGTTGGGAAGAGTTTCTCCATGTAAAATTTTGTGTCTCATTATGGCAATGTTATCTACCATATTAACCTATAAAATTGTTGGATGAGGGTGATCTCTAGCTTATGTGTTTATATATATATATATATATATTATATGTTTATGCTCATTTAAATCAATTATACTTTTCTGACCCAGCAACAGTAAATCTTGGTTGAAACTGATTGCTTTAACTAGGCATAGCCTTGTGATATACCATAGAAATAATTTTAAGAAAAGGTAGTCAGTGTTTTACAGACTCTTTCCTGATATGACAGTGGGAGCAATATCAGAGGAGGAACGACAACGAGTCAGTTTTGTGTCCACATCTTGCATCAAAAATCATCAAACAGATCTAAAATTGACAGGATTGATTTTTCTTCTTCAAATAATATTAGAAAATATCCCAGAAAGAAAAATATCACAAGCCATTTTTATATATCCATAGTGTAAATTGACACCCTAGCTTGTCAGTTCAAAATATTAGTTGCAAGGGGTTCTTTTCTTTTTGTTTCTTCATCCAAGGATGATGATAAATACTCCAGTTCGAAGTTAAGTCAATAAGTTCCAACTCATTCTTGAGCAATTTATACAATTAAAAGAAATAATGCTACCAGCTCTTTCTGATTCTAGCTCTCCTGCAGACATAATGACAGGTTCAATTCCCATTGCCTGAAAGATCAGTTCGGTCTGAAATGATTTGCCTTGCCCTTTTCCTCCCCAAACGCCTGTTACAAAAATATCAACTTAACAATACCTTCTCAAATACCCCTAAAATTCAGCTTAAAAGCTGATAGAGCATAATACAAAATCTTTTGCAGCAAAACTAACAGTATTCATGGAGTATCAAGATCATGCTAGCTACTGTACTGCATGACAAAACTATATTTTGGTCTGGCATTTCATGATTGAATTAAGTGTAAAGCAATTATCACGTTGAGGAAACATAAAATAAGAGTCAAAATGTCTACGATAATCCTACACTAGGATAAAATATGAAGCATCACGGGTTTATTCTAAAAGGAAAAGCAGTGAAGAAAATGTTGCTCACACATCTCTAGCAAAAACTAAAACTTGTACAAGAAATACTTTTGCATAGTAAGGTACATTTATTAAGATCCTAAAGTTTCTAACAACAGAAGGGGAAAGAGAAAATACTTGCCTAGAATCAGGGGAACTTTGGCGTTCAAAATATGAGAAATGTAGTTCTTCACAATGTGACACACTGCAGGGATAAGATTCCACATATCACTGAAAGGTTATCACCAATGTGTTTAAATAAGGCAGCTCTGCTTGCAATAACAGCATAAATGGTGCAGGGGTGAAATAACAAGTTTACATGTAAAAATCTGCATAGAAGTGTAGGCGTTAATCCTCTAAACACATGAACTACTGCACCAATTTGTTAATACACATCCAAATCAAAGGAAAGGAAAGAGGATTGTGAGAAAACATGTAATATACCAGGTGCAGAAAACATAGATTAGTTCTTTGAGTCCTCAATCAGCCATTAAGACAAATTTTCTATAGAGCCCATTACTATAGGAAATTTCAGTTTGCCCATTTATTACTCCTTAGCTGAGAAAGTGAAAACGCATATATGAAATGAAACAATAGCAACGCATGATTTTTACTATGTTTTTTGAACAATCAAAAGTCAAAAGGTTATTTTAGTCATAGCTCTCTGCAGAGTTAACCCAAACAAGAAAATGTACAATAGAAAAGGTTGCCTTTCTACTAGTAATAATAACTGTTAGGAGAAGCCAAATAGAACAGTGCTTAATCCATAAACAAAAGGGCATCAGAATTTATTTCAGTGGCAAAGCTATAAATTTCGTTAGGGGTGTTCAAGATTTAATATATATGTATAAAAAAAAAATTTGACCTGTATAATTTTCTATGTACATGGTATAACGAAAACACCCTTCGCCTACTTGTAACTACACCACCTGATCAGAAAACAAACTGATCTCTTCTATTGACTCCAGCAAGAAAGATACCAAAGGAAGCTTAAATGCAAGAGTCAACCTCATACTGGCAGAGGAAAACACCAGTACTCATACACAAGATACAATGATCGCATAGAATGGAGCTGTTGGAAGACTAAAAAATGGCGGCACTGACTGAAACTTACCAACTTTATCCTGTTCATGTCCAGAAAAAAAAACAAGAAACGGATGAGAAACTCATATTGATTAATTTTTCCGGAAAAATTAGAGAGCGAGATGCAAAATCCCTGAAAATAACAATGTACCAGAAACACAGGTGCAATATAGTAATCGCCTTGAAGGTACTGAAACGACCTAGTCACCTTCTGCCGATAATCAAACACAATATCCGCTGAAAAAACAACGATAATCATCAATAAACACAACACAATTTCAATGAACTAGGGTAATGATAAACAAAAATCGAAGTTATTTACAGTCTTTTCCAAGGAAATTTCCCGCGAAGAGACTATCAATGACGCCAGCCCTAGCACCAACAGCAATATTCATATTATCGGCCTCTGCACCAAGCCTATAAAGATAATCATTGCCATCAGAATCTTTGGTTTCCCATGAAGACTGTTCAGAGAGTCTTTTCTTCTTCTTTGGTTCATCTTGATCGGAATCTCGAATTTCATCACTCTGTTGGTTAGTAGATGAACAACGAACAGAGATAGAAGAGTAATTGGGGAATTGCTTAGAAGGAGAAAGTGGAATTGAGTGGAAAGTGAGAGGAGCTCTGAGGAGATTTGTGTTGAACAAGAGAGCCATTGTTTTGAAGAATTTTGGGCCTTTAGTTTTCTTTTGTTGTATTAGCCGTTACAACTTCACACGCTTTTTGGTTTGACGTTATCGGAACGCTATCAGTTGGAGGTATTTCGCGCCACACACGACAATAACCCGCCCTTCTTTTCTCTAATTTTATTTTGGGGTTAGATTTTTAATTTTTTGTATGTCAAGATAAATAGTAGGGAATTAAAATTAAATCTTTACTCATAAGACTAGTAAATTAATTTAGGAAATAACTAAATAGTATATAGTACGTAATAGATTAAAAAAACACTTAATTCCTTAAAAAATTATATTTTAGGAAAGCATTTTCATTCTAACCAAACACACCGTAGAGTCAATTAATCGATATTTTTATTTATTTATCATTCAATGTTCGATATTCACATTGTAGTCTGACTATTTTAAACTTGATACCACGTACTCGTAGGCCCCATTCGGGAGGAAGTATTTTCTACCAAAGATTTGCTCGAATTCGAGAGCTCTAGTTAAAAAGGCAACAACTTTATCCACTGTACCACATCGATGGTCCAATCGATATTTTGATTATTCATATGATCCGTCCCACCAGTTTGACATTGAAGTACATTGTATTAACTGCTCGCCTTTTATTTTGTGCCCCTTCTATAACTTTTGACAAAAAGAAGAAAGAAATAAAAGTCTCATAGCTTTTGATAGGAATGAAAAAAAGAAATAAAAGTAAAAAGCTTCGTAGCTTCTTGATCTCCAATTCAAGCATATTAAGCACAACAACAACTCAGCAAGGGACTGCTAAACAAGGCTCAAGTTCGTACTATTATTATAATAATAATAATACAACTTGAATGGCGCATCAAATTAACGACATAATTAAGTAACTTTTATATCATTAAGTCACTTTAATTCTTATTTTCAAGATTTTAAATATAACAAGAGGTTTCATTGATATGTTGTTGTTGTTTGCAGTAGTATTGTCCAGCTTCATGTTCCTAAATGATTAACGAGTCTGACAATTCCAATGCCTTTGACTCCAAGTTTCTCCACATGCGTAGCAAAATTCCTCTTTACACCTGAATCGCCAATATATATACACAACAACGTAACGTTAGTCTAAAAGATCTTGTTAAAATATGAGATCTGTAATTTTAAAAACGATCTGATGGCGTCACTCTAACCTGCAAGTGATGTGTACACAGCCATCATCAACTTTATCAACAAGAGAATTGCAATGAGGGCAATTCTTCCATTTCCGATTTTCAGCAAGCAGCTTAACCCTTAAGTCATCTTCTCTGTCTTTTTCTTCCTTTTGAAACTGTTGGCAGTCACGCCCAGTGTGCCAAGGTACTCTGCACCGCGCGCACAACAGTCCTGCACACCAAGGACATTTGCCCTTAATAACAATCTCTTTTTCATCATGGCTGAGCAACTTCGCACATTTTTTATAAGGACAATACAATTTCTCTCGATTCGGAATAGCTGACTCGATCAAGCCCTTTTCATACCTTGCAAAAATTTCTAAAGAGTCTCCAATAACATATTGCTTCTGCAATTCCTTTGCATATTTGGCATCTGATATCAGATTACGGAGAGACATTCTTAGCTATTATAATTTCTGTATAGTGTTTGTATTTTTTGATATTGGAGAATGACAATAGTCCGGTATTTATGCTAAATTATTAGGGACTGTTTGGACATTTGTTAAAAAGATATTTTAAGCACATTTTTGGTTTCACATTAGAATTAATTTTTGGTTTATGTAGAAAGTTCTTGGAAGGGGACACGGAGACTTGGTGAAGTCATCACTCATAGCTCCGATATTGCGACGCAAGTCAAGTGGGAAAAAAGAAATTAAAACAGTATCTTGGAATTTAGCTCGAATCGCCGGTATGGATAATAGTGAATTTGATATAAAATTTAAAAAACAAACGAAAATTGATTATATTTTAGGAATAAAAATGGAATTTTTGTTGTGAAATAAAATGGATGACCATGTCAACTTTACTGTAGCAATCTTGGCGTTCAAGTTTTATCAAAAGTAGTAGCTAAGTAATTGACTTAGTATATCTCTATCTTTATAATGTTGATTAACTTTCCATCTCTTATTAATTTATTTTCAACTACTCTCGTAACTATCCCCACATAGCTTTTTCATCTAATTGGGACGGGTAAACCATATGAGTGACTTATAATTCATATTCAATTGGTTATATTCTTTTTAAGTCATATCAAGTGAATTGTTGAGATTTTTCTTATTGTTCAAAATTCAAGAGAATTGTTGATTTTTTTTTTTTCATATTTATTCTTTATTTAATAAGATTCTAAATTATTTTATATTTTCTAAAAAAAGAGTGTCCTCTATGCATGCCTCAAACCTCTTTATTTTTTATTATGAAACATTACGCCATTTCCTTGTTTACTTATGCACATATTTCAATGTATATAACGTTTCAATACCTATTATACATACATGAAAAAATAATTTTGTTTTTTAAATATACAATATAATTTCTTATTAAAAAAAAATAGATGAACCTCTTGAATCCATGCGACTCCCCCCGACAATGAGTCACACATTAGGTCTTCATGATCAACACTATACTGTTTTAATTCATGCATCTCCTTTGTGTGTTTTGGATGCTCAGCCAACTATGATAAAAGGGACCAAATATGGGCCACTATGAATATAATTCAGACTAAACAGATTAGTGGGCTTGGGCCATCAGTATTAGATTTATTGGACTCTAATCAGGTTCTAAAGTAGATGGGCAAGTAATTTGCACAAATAAGATCTGCACACCCTTAAGTATAAAACACTGTTATACTATGAATACAATTCAGACTAAATGATTGCAGGTTCCTACTCAAGACTGTGGAATGACCCAATTATGCACCTCAATAGTTTTTTTACTATATATAGGTTGTATACAAATAAGTAGTACTCCATTCAACTCATTTTATGTTGCACCATTTGACTTGATATGATTTTATTTTTTTTAAATGAAACTTATGGTCTAAAACAATTTTTAGATATGTGGGGTTGAAATTCATTTCATTAAGGGTAAAAGAGGAATTCTAAAGTTAAATTATTTTTAATTATAGTAAAGTGACATTTTTTTTAGCTGACTAAAAAGAAAAGGATTCCACATAAAATAAGACAGTAGGAGTAAAAAAAAAATTATGAAAAAAAAATCTTAATTTTTTTAATACTTTTATTGTTGAAGAAACTCACGATTTTATGTATCAAATAAACTTCACAATACACTTATAATTGAGACGTGATATAATTTCACGTGAGAAGAAGTTAATAAAAAGAACTATAGTTCGTCCATTTGTGGGCAAACTATCTTTAAAAATTTTGTTATGTTATTTGAGTTTTGGGGTGAATTAACATAAGTTAATTTTGTTTATCACAGTTCGCCTACAAATGGGCAAAGTATCTGTTTTGATATGTGTTTTCAAGAAGGGTCCATTTGATTTGTGGCATCTATAAAATATCTATTATTAAAGTCGAACTTGTTTCTTCTTGTTAATTTCATAAAAACTATATACTTGTTGATGACCACGAAAATTCATCGGCTGATCTCACCACAAAAATTAGAGGGAAAGAGAGTTTTGGTTGGTGTGATAATCACTCTTAACTACTCCCACCTATTTTTTCCCTTCTAATTCAATTGTGTTAGTCATATGACTGCGACCCATAACCCAAATTCAACACACTTAATTGACCATGACCACTAAAAAATGATCCATAACCCAAAATTCAACCCACTTAATTGACCACGACTCATTTTTCTATACTTTTAACTTTCTTCCACCACTAAAAAATGACCTCATATTTTCATCTTTAATGAATTTCATGACTTTTTACTAATTTCATTGAACACTAGATCATTGAGAGTTCTTTTTATTGTGTAATCAACTCATAGCTTTACTTTTTATATAACAACAATACAAAAGAAAAATATAAACACAAATTCTTGATATATTTCTTTCCCACAAAAATACTTTTGATACCTTATCATCACATAATAATATGAAAGATGAATAAAAGAAGTCTTATAAATTAATTTACAGACATATTTCGTCCGTTGCCAAACTGGCAATTATATTGATTGAACATAAGGTACAAATCAAACAACATATAGTATCTCTAAAAATGGTGAATCTTGTATTGGTTATTGCCTCCATCAATTTGAAATACCAGCAGCCAGTCTAGCTCTTAAATCTTTTCTCAGAATTTTTCCTGACGGAGATTTTGGTACCGTCTCTACGAAAAATACACGCTTTACTCTCTTATAGAATATCACCTGCAAAATTTTGAAAAACATATAAAAAATGAATCACTTAATGTTACTACGTATTTTTATTCAAATACATAACTGTTTATTACAAAATCAGCTTCAACAATCAATAGATTTGATTTTGTTAAACCTTTACAAACTTATTTTTAGTTTTATGTTCCTTTAACAAATGATCTTCATTAAAACACATAACATATTTTCATTTTTCCAATGAAAAAAAGGTTTGTTGTAATTGATCATAAGATATCAATACAGATGTAAAAGCACGTGATCAAGATCTGGCATATTATGTATAATAATACTTTTTTAACTGCACCAATTAATTAAAAATGTTGGAAACAACAATACACTAAAGGCCATTATTAATCATTGATGCTCCGCTGTTTATCAATCTTTCAAATTAAATATTAGTACTTCAATTAATTAAATAAGCAAATTTGAAACTAACCTGTTTCGATATGAAATCCTTGACTTCATCCTCAGTAATGGTAGATCCATTTGATCTAACAACAAAAGCCACTGGAACTTCTCCCGCTTGTTCATCTATCATTCTGTCCAACACAATTTAACAAATTATCAGAATTTAGACCATTTTTCGAGCTAGCTGTATCGTACGTTAGGCATTTATAGTTGTACATTACAAAAATTATAACTAACTTACGGGACAACAGCAGCATCAGAAATGTCGGGGTGGTTGATAAGAAGAGCTTCAAGCTCAGCAGGCGCCACTTGAAATCCTTTGTATTTGATCAATTCCTTCAATCGGTCCACAATGAAAAGCTCATCATCATCGTCAATGAATCCAATATCGCCAGTGTGTAACCATCCTTCTTTTTCTATTGTTCTAGCTGTGGCCTCGGGATCATTCAAGTAACCTACAAAGAAATAATCATTGTTTTTATTAATATATAATTAAATAAATAAAAATATACGATAACTTAAATTTTTAAGACCAAAGTCGAAAAGTAGTTGGGCAGGTGGTTGAATGAATATACACCGAATAGTTCCACAATTTTATGGTAAAAGGCTCCACACGTTTCAATAGGTAATAAGAAAGGTACTCTAAACTTTGTTTCAACTTGTATGTTTTATTTTTTATTTTTTAATCTTTTAAAAATAATATACTTTTTATTTTTCGAGATTTTTTTTAATTTTAAACTTTCTGATTTAATAATATCAATCTTGTATTCAATAAAGTAAAAAAAGTTCTTCTGCTTTTAAAAAAAAATTGGTGGGAGTGGTAGGTGAGCTTTTGATGCTAGTATCAATTTTGGTGGCGTTTGAAATATTAACCAAATCTACATAAGTTTTACTCTGTTGGTATATGAACGACCCCTAATGCATCTTGATCTAGGTCCACTAGTTGGTATATTTTATTATTCTTAACAAACTGTGTTATTATCTATATACGTATGTACCTAATAAAAACGTGTATTTTGGAAATATATGTAAATGGTCACCTAACTAAAATACTAATTTGACACGTAACTTAAGTTTACGAAGAATATTCACGCAAAAGATTTTAGCATACCTTTCATGATTTGATCACCTCTAATGCAAATTTCACCGGGTTGGTTACGGGGCAGAGAGCAACCCGTATCCGGATCCACAATTTTCATCTCCGAGTTCCTCACAACAGTACCACATGCCCCTGATTTAATATCAAACGGTTCTTTCGCAAATGCCAAACACATCGCCAGCACAGGACCGGCCTCCGTCATTCCATAACCCTATTTTAATTTAATAATTTATTAATTAGTCAATAAATTTAAATTTGGAAATTTATTCAACAATAATAAAATAATACAGTGTATCCTGGCTGGCTAGTCACTATCAAGAAACCATAATAAGGCAAATGCATTGTTAAAAGTCAAAATCAATGTCCACAAAGGCGTGCAGTATTGTTGTACACATTTTTTTTAAGAATAGACTTTTACCAACCAATATTTACTTAGTCAAGCAAAATGCATTTGTAACTCCAAAATTAGGAAAACTATAACGCGTAATTAAAATTAATTTTTTTTCTGAGTTTGGTAAGGTTGGTTTCAGTGTATCTCTTAAAATTATTGTTTTTGGGAAACTAGCGCATCAGCACATGGATGGTATTTCAGGATAAGAACATGAAGATTAAAAGATCAATAACTTTGGCGTATACTTTATATTTATGGAGAAAATAGTAATAAATTTAAATTCTAACTCCGCGCAAAAGAAAATAATATTTACCTGACCGAGTTTGGCGTTAGGGAATTTTGCTCGGACGGCATCTTCAAGTTCCTTTCCTAATGGTGCAGCACCAGACATGACTGTTCTTACTGA